CAAGTGGTATTTTATGAAAGTCCATTTTTAAAACATAGGAAATTTTAAACCACTTTAATATATATTTTTTTCAGTTTTGGAACATGAAATTCCTGAAATTCCCAATTTTTTTTCCAAAACTAAAAAAAGTTTAGGGTCGGTTGCAAAAAAATAGGGTAGGTCAGGTAGCAGGAAACAAGACTATTATTTTTTTTGGCCTAATATTGACCGCTGTGATGTTTTTACATCACACTGTGGGCAGGATCACCTATATCTTATCAACTTAACTTGTCAAAATAAAAAGTGAAAGGCATAACAAAACATTTATCAACTGTGTTCCCTAGCAAAATGTATTTTGTTGACCCCTTGAACTAACCGTTTGCCTTTGGTCTTAAATGGCCTCGGGCACAGTTTGGTTCTTGGGTCCAACAAAATGCATGTTGCCCTTGAACCCAGTCTATAAATGTATATACAGTGGAGCCTCATTTATCCGGACGCTTTGGTTCCCAGTCAATTTGTCTGGATATGTGAAGCGTCCGGATAACTGAATTGCCTTGATTTTAGTTATATGGCCTTTCATACCATTGGCAATAGTTAATTTGTTTTATTGTTTAAATACTTTAATAAACATTAGTACTCAGTACTTGTTTAAATAAAATAAAAAAGTACATTGTCATTGGATGAAACATTGTTTTGTGAAAACATTAATTATTTCTACTTCCCAGTGAATCAACTTCACCTAGTTAAGTGTCTGTAGAGCTGGTAGAGAAAAAAAATTGTCAGTAGAGTCTTATTTAATATGAACGCCAATCAATGCTATATCATTAAATGTGAAATTAACTGCACATGTATACATATGCTAACCATAATCATCCCAAGCAAGATCGTATCAATTAACGATTATGTAATAATGAAAGTGATTTTATAAATGTCATCAAATCATAGAATCCGTTTGCGCACAAAATACTGTGCATAAAAAAAAAACTCTGATGTCATATCTATATATATAGCAATACATAAAACCATGTTACAACTGTATTCTAACAGTAAAAGAAATATATTTGCCGACTACGAAAAATTATAGACATAAAATTATTTTCCTTAATTAATATGTATCAAATACATGTTTGAGAAGCGAGAGTCTTGTGCGTACCTATCGACCTATAATTAACCTTGACGCAAGCCATTGATAACAGGTCGCAGGTGATCATCTTTTAACTTAAAACAAACAGCCAGGCCAGTGTTTTTACAACAATTAATACCCTGATCAAGAAATTTTAGCAGAGTTGACAGACAAATTAAAAAAATACCGTCCAGATAAATGAACCAAAATATAACGTAAAAATTCATTTTGTGGTGAAAAAAGACCGTACGGATACGGAACGCGGAATTCCAGATAAACGAGACAAAATAACGTTAAAAAATTCCATTCCCATGAAAAATCGTCCGGAAACTGAAGAGTCCGGATATCTGGTGTCCAGATATCTGAGGGTCCACTGTAGCTATACCTTTAACAATTGTTTCCTATATAAATCTATACTGAAAAAGTCTAACATTTCCAATGTTTTACTGAGTGGTCTCAAAAAAAGAACTGATGTTAGAACGCAGAACAAGAAATTGGACCATTTATATCACAGTGTTGGCAGGATAAGCTATATCTTATTTGCATTCATTGGTGTTACAGAATTGACCGAAATTAAACCACAGTGCAGGTAAATGAAATTTACATCATGGACGCCAGCACAAGATATGCCCCCCCCCCCCCCAACCCCTCCAAGTAAAAGGTATAAAAAAACATTAATTTTATTGACTGTTTTCCCTAGCAAAATGTGTTTTCCTGACCCCTCAAACCAAACTTTCTGCATTTGGTTTAATGGCCTCAGGCAAACAGTTTGGTTCTTGGGTCCGACAAAATGCATGTTGCCCTCAAACCCAGTCAATAAATGTATAAAATTAAAGTGAACTATAAAGTGTTTTTTTTAAACATATTAAAACTCCATCATTGCAAGTCACAGGTTTTGTGTCCAATGGCATTCTATTTCCACAAACCTGTAGCTGCCTTCCACAAAATTCTTTCAGAAATGTTAATGACACACTTTCAACCAGTGGAATACCAGCAGTTATCTGATACTTCAAGTCAGAAACCAGTTGTCCAAAGAAAATGAAAGGTCTATCTTTTAATTGGATGTAACCATAACCAAGAGCAAATATATTCAAACCACATCTGTATTTGAAACCCTGTCTTTAAACATTAAGCTTTGTATTTTAAAATATTTTTTACTCATTTCTGTTCTTCTGGATCTATTGTATTTTATCAATAAATCTGCCTGCATAGCAAAGATGATTTCATTATGGGTGCCATCATATAAACATACCCAAATTTGATACTGAGAGATTTTGTTGGTCAAGATAAATCTGGCATCACTTAATTAATATATAATGAGACATTCGTTCATGAGAACAAGAGAATTTTGTAGTAGGCAGCCATGGGTTTGTGGGGATAGAATGGACATAAAACCTGTGGCTTGAGAATGTATTACATGTACCTATTATGCTAACATTTGAGAGATTTTTTTGAACTGATGTAATAATCTCTTCCTAGGTGTTATCATAATAGGTACCAGTAATACATTCTTTATGCACTTCCATTGCATTTACCCAAGGAATTTATAGCTTCAAATTTATATCCATGTTCACATTCACAACTCTCTGGATTATTTGTAGCTAATGTGTAGATTAGAATTATCTGCCCCTGTTTATTTTGCTACATTGTCAACACAAGAAATGAATTCTATCATTAAACACCCAATTTTACGTTAACGCCCCCAAAATCTACCTGATTCAAGATCAATAATATACCGCCTGTCAATCATAGAAAAAACAATAGCTACTGATTTGATTGACAGAACCAGCTACCTGTGCTACCTGATAATCTGAATTTGCAGGTTTTGAAAATGATCGCCTGGTCACGCGTCAAACACTTTCATGTACCGCGTGAAAAGTCGCTTTGTATATACACTGAGGGTTAAAAAAAATCAAGTCGCTGTTATATTGCATGGTTGGTCATTTTATTGAAATAAGAGTAGAGAACTAAACCTTGACTTCATTTTTTTTTTTCAATCTCCACTGCTGTTTGGCACTTTTTAAAAGCGGTATGATGTCCATGTCCAAAATAAATGTAACTCTTTTTTGAAGAAAAACTAGTGGCTCGATCTTTTTCAATTACTGCCTGGGACTTGGATCCGGAGAGGAACGAAGTTCCCTTAGCAGCTAAGACCAATAATTTTTCCGAGCCCCTTCTTCAACCTTTGCCGAGATTTTAGTAATCATCGTAATGCCCCTGTCGACCCTGCATTTAGGTGCACAGAAACTCAATGCGAAGCCCGCCAATTAAAATCATGACAAAATAAAATAAAATGTATAAGAAAAATATTTAGCATTAACGTCATGAATTACGAAAGATTCCTTTATCACACACTTTATATTTGCATATATATGAATATACGAATAGTGATCGATCTTAATTAAAATCTTACAAACAATACAAATCTGTGAACACGGACCTTCGGAAATGCCGAATATTTTGGACAACATTGTTGGCACCGGGAGAAAAAATAAATACGTTCCGATTGTGGTAAAAATCCACACGCCGGATAAATTTGATAAATGGGATTTTTTTAATTTAAATATTCATACTTATTTAATAAATTTTATATATTTTTTTTTTTTTTTTTTTTGCTCAAAATTAGACACGAAATGCGTAATGTTGACCGTGATTACCAAAGACAGACTTCCTGTGTAATGCAACGTGTATAGGGATTTTTGACATCTTGAGTATTGTGGCTCTCCAGGTAAATAACACCAGTACTACCAAGACCACTCCCCCTCCTCAGGTAACCGTACGGTAAAAAAATTGGGTCTTTAAACGGGGTCTGTAGGACAATATCATTTTAACAATAGAACGTTATATGTAAATGCAATAATTGCATAAATAATTTTGAACTACATTTCTTGTTTGAACTCTTAAAAGATAACACCAAATTTTAGTGCTTACTATCAAGTGATGGGAAAAGGGGGGGGGGGGTGTTAGTCAAACAAAATGAATAAAAAAATATATAATACAAAAATAACATTTAAGGAGATAAGATACTTGTAAACAAACTTTTATAAATTTCAGTACTCACAAAAAATCTTGAAATAACAACTTCAGTCATGCTTAAAGAAGTAAACTTATACAACGAATAAGTTTAACCACATAGAATTTAATTTTTCATTCAAAGTTTCACAATAATGGGATTTAAAGTGACAAAAAGTTGTATAGATTTATGAGGATGGTTGCAGAAAGGTAGAAGTTTGAACATCATAGTTTACAGTTTCTTAATATTTTAGAAATTTATTATTTGCATCATTTACAATCAAAAAATGTCCAACCCAACCCAAGCAGGGACCTATATTATATACTATACAGTCCCTGATCCAAGCATCCATTTTTTTTGGTTTGTATCATCTGTCCTTAAATTTTTATTTTAATCAATTTAATTTTAATTACTTTATTAAACTATTATATAAGATAATTTTTCTTTCAAAAAAAAAAGAAAAAAAAAACGGCTTCTTGATTCAATATACTAATATACTAACTATGCACATTTTGCATGAACACAGAGACATAGGTCTCTGATGGTGCCCCTAGCTACATGAAATGAATTGGTAATAATCACATCGATGAATTTTCTTTAACAATTTTGTTTTAAATTTACAACATACGCACCCTATTTCCTCCAAATCAGTCTATCAGAGAAGAATCGGAGGGTTTGTCTGACAAGGCAGCGCATACAGAGCACCTTGCATGACAACACTGTAGCTTAAATGTCAAGGTCGTGTGCAAAATGGGGCTAAACCTTTATTTTCGTATAAATTATTTTTTCTGTTTTAATATGGCCTTAATGAATGTTTATGTATTGCTATTGTTGAAATAAAAGAAATAACTTTTTAATCATGTTAGACTTCTGTTATCTTTTTATTTTTGTTCTCAGTAAGGGGGAATCCCAAGTAGCTTAGTGTATTCAAAATGGCGACGGATGAGTGGAAGCACTGCGCTGACTGGCTTGTTCGATGTAACATTTTACCTGATGAACATAGAGCAACTCAACCTAATGCCAGTGCATTTGACTTAGCCCAGGCTTTGCGAGATGGAGTACTTATATGCCATCTGTTGAACAACTTATCTCCAGGCTCCGTGGACTTGAAAGACTTCAGTCAGAGACCTCAGCTGTCACAGGTTTTTAGCGTTTTTGTACACTTACGGAACGTTTTCTTTTTTATCTAACATAAAGTAAAGACTTGTAGAGCATAGAACATTTACTAAGTTTTATTTTTTGTAAAAATTAATTGAATCTGAGTTGTTTTATGATATATCCATGAAGTACAATAATAGTGAGTGGTTACTTCCTAGTTGAGTAGAGTGGGTTTATATATCACACCTGAACGAGGAATTTAATTTACATCCTTATCCAGTCGGTAGCAGTTTGGCTGATGAACAGAAGCATGATGAGGAAAAAGAGTTTTTTTTATAATAAATTTGAAACAAATCAATTTAAAAAATGCATTCTTATTATTCTTTTAAATAAACCATCATTTTTATTTTATTGCTTCATAATATCTGAAAACTATTTATAGATTTCACATTTTGAGTTCATACAAAGATGTTTCAGGCACTTCAATTCATGTTTGGCATAAAAAGTAGATTTTTTCAAGACTGTAGATTTTCATGACAACTCAAGTACAAATTTTATCAAATTAAGAGGGACTAAGATTATACAAAACATTTTTGTCTGTCAATCAAACAGTCAGTGTGATTGAAAATATAATTTTGCCCATGGAAGAGATGATTGATTTCATTATTTAACAATAAAAAAGTTTGTGGAAATATTTTATATTTCTCTGAAGAAAACTTTCTTCTTTTTCAGTTCCTCTGCTTCAAGAATATTAGAACTTTTCTACAGACTTGCCAGACACACTTTGGTTTGAGCTCTAATGATTTATTTGACCCACTGGATTTGTTTGAGGTCAAAGATTTCAGAAAGGTAGGAATTAGATTAACAATTAATACTAGTATTTATTAATGTAAATAATAAATAGTCTATAATAAAAAAAACTACTAAATGTCTAGAGAATTTTAGCATTCAATATTTTGGAGTTTTATTGAATACTGAGTTTTCATTACATATATGAGTATACATGTATGTCCCAAAACATTCAGAATATGCCCCATTGTAAACAAAAAATGTTGTCTGGTCAACCGCTCAGCGACAATATTTATGAAGAGTAGTGGCAGCTAGGTAAGATGTGTCTATTTTCACACAAAATTGAAACTATTAATAATTTAGTACCTTTTAGCCTCAATAAGGAAAACATAATGCTTGGTGGGGTCATTAGAATGATGTGATATTGAACACATACAGAAGAGACACAGATATTTTATAGTTTTAATTTGAATACCAATACTGAAAAATTCTCATTAATTTTCGATTATTTAATTGAAATAATTAATATAAATCAATGGAAAATGCTTTAGCTATATAATAAAGGAGTTATTGAACTTAAATTGGTGAATATTGGCACTTGTTGGCTGTACAAATGCACTCCCAATCTCGTGTATTTGTACAACCAACTTGTGCCAATATTCACCAATATAAGTTCAATAACCCTTAGGCTATATTATCATCTTTTTGTTATGAAATATTCTTTAATTATAATAATTTTTTTTTTTTTTACAGAATCATTGTTCTATTTTCATTTTTCATTCCTTTATGCAATAGCTATGTCATACTCAAATACATGTATGAATAACTTCCAGGTTTTAAATACACTGTCCAAGTTATCAAAGACACCAATTGCCAGAAGGAAATGCAGGTATTGGATTTTTTAGTGATATATTACATGCTTACAAAGATATGACACAGTACATTACTATAAAGGATAAAGATATCTGAATGTTGAAGGACCTTTCTGAAGGCAATCACATACAATCAGAATATACATACTATTACATACTGTGTGCATACTATTATTTTTCAATGGCAGCAAAACTCATATACCTATCATTCATGCTGTAAAAAAACCTTTAATGTTTAAATATATTCCCTAGTTACTTATGCAATTTGTAAAATGACTTTTGTTTTAGTGGTTTTAATGCTCCCTCACCACGTTCCGTTGATCATGAATATTACAATTCTTTAGAAGATTTAGCAAAGTGAGTAATAAAAAGTGGCAAACAGCATGTGACTCTTTTGTGGAATGCTACCTTGTGGTTTAAAGTGTAGCCGAATATCCATGTTTAACATGCTCACAGATATGGGCATGCTAGCAGTAGTTCTCACAGCACCTCCTTGCTACTCTAGAATTGGTATTTTGCTCTAGGTGAAAATAATAGCTGTATCATGTATGTCTAAACATGATTAACACATGCAGTATCACAATCTGAGTCTTACCACATTACTACATAAAACAAATCTCTGTACTGCATTTACAGAAGTCTGAACATGAAAATCAAAGAAATAGATAGATACATGTACTCAAGTTTTGTTGTAGTAGAATGTAAACTTGAAATTTTATAAAAATTTGATTGCCCTTGTTATGAAAAGAAAGTTATTAACTTTAGGAACTAATTATAGAATTAAGCAAATTAATGAAAGCTTCATTTCATCCTATCATAAATTGAAATTGGCCAGTTATGCATTTTCCCAGTTAGTAATGACAGCTGAAGTTTATGACTGGTCTTTTGAAATTTATCAAGGAAATACAACTGAGGTGTTTTTATAATTTTACAATAAAAGAATAATATTTTATCTTTCCATTGATCAGAAAGTATAGTTAGATATAGAATAACAACATTTAAGATAATATGTAGTCCAGTTAAAAAGAAAAGATCCCTAGTCACACTTGAATCAAACTAACGTTATGGAGGCATGATGTACAGGTAAAGCCTATCCACAAATATATATTAAGCCAAGAACCAATCTTGTAGTGTTTTAAAATTTTCCTTGCACCTGGCCAGGATCTTAAAAGACTAGCTATTGTTTGTTGTCTAGTGGCCAGGATCTTGTAGGGCTAGCTAGTGTTTGTTGTGTAGGAGTGCTTGCATGTGGTGCTTGTTCAAACTGCTTGTATCCTTTTTGTAGTGGCTTTCCACCCGAGCAGACCACACCACACAGACCCTCCCGCAGATACAATGATGATGATGAGGACATTTACGGAAATCTCCCAGACCTGGCTTTGTAAGTTACACTTAATAGGGGTCTGAACAGTGGAAATCTCCCAGACATGGCTTTGTAAGTTACACTGAATATGGGTCTGTACAGAGGGAATCTCCCAGGTCTGGCTTTGTAAGTTACACTGAATAGGGGTCTGTACAGAGGAAATTTCCCAGGTCTGGCTTTGTAAGTTACACTGAATAGGGGTCTGTACAGAGGGAATCTCCCAGACCTGGCTTTGTAAGTTACACTGAATAGGGGTCAGTACAGAGGAAATCTCCCAGACCTGGCTTTGTAAGTTACACTGAATAGGGGTCAGTACAGAGGGAATCTCCCAGGTCTGGCTTTGTAAGTTACACTGAATAGGGGTCTGTACAGAGGGGATGGAATCTCATAGGTCTGGCTTTGTAAGTTACACTGAATAGGGATCAGTACAGAGGGAATCTCCCAGGCCTGGCTTTGTAAGTTACACTGAATATGGGTCAGTACAGAGGAAATCTCCCAGGTCTGGCTTTGTAAGTTACACTGAATATGGGTCAGTACAGAGGGAATCTCCCAGGTCTGGCTTTGTAAGTTACACTGAATAGGGATCAGTACAGAGGGAATCTCCCAGGTCTGGCTTTGTAAGTTACATTGAATAGGGGTCAGTACAGAGGGAATCTCCCAGACCTGGCTTTGTAAGTTACACTGAATATGGGTCAGTACAGAGGGAATCTCCCAGGTCTGGCTTTGTAAGTTACACTGAATATGGGTCTGTACAGAGGGGAGGGAATCTCATAGGTCTGGCTTTGTAAGTTACACTGGATAGGGATCAGTACAGAGGGAATCTCCCAGACCTGGCTTTGTAAGTTACACTGGATAGGGATCAGTACAGAGGGAATCTCCCAGACCTGGCTTTGTAAGTTACACTGAATATGGGTCAGTACAGAGGGAATCTCCCAGGTCTGGCTTTGTAAGTTACACTGAACAGGGATCAGTACAGAGGGAATCATCCAGGCCTGGCTTTGTAAGTTACACTGAATAGGGGTCAGTACAGAGGAAATCTCCCAGACCTGGCTTTGTAAGTTACACTGAATAGGGGTCAGTACAGAGGGAATCTCCCAGGTCTGGCTTTGTAAGTTACACTGAATAGGGATCAGTACAGAGGGAATCTCACAGATCTGGCTTTGTAAGTTACATTGAATAGGGGTCAGTACAGAGGGAATCTCCCAGACGTGGCTTTGTAAGTTACACTGAATATGGGTCAGTACAGAGGGAATCTCCCAGGTCTGGCTTTGTAAGTTACACTGAATATGGGTCTGTACAGAGGGGAGGGAATCTCATAGGTCTGGCTTTGTAAGTTACACTGGATAGGGATCAGTACAGAGGGAATCTCCCAGACCTGGCTTTGTAAGTTACACTGAATATGGGTCAGTACAGAGGGAATCTCCCAGGTCTGGCTTTGTAAGTTACACTGAATATGGGTCTGTACAGAGGGGAGGGAATCTCATAGGTCTGGCTTTGTAAGTTACATTGAATAGGGGTCAGTACAGAGGGAATCTCCCAGACCTGGCTTTGTAAGTTACACTGAATATGGGTCAGTACAGAGGGAATCTCCCAGGTCTGGCTTTGTAAGTTACACTGAATATGGGTCTGTACAGAGGGGAGGGAATCTCATAGGTCTGGCTTTGTAAGTTACACTGAATAGGGATCAGTACAGAGGGAATCTCACAAATCTGGCTTTGTAAGTTACATTGAATAGGGGTCTGTACAGAGGGAATCTCCCAGGTCTGGGTTTGTAAGTTACACTGAATATGGGTCAGTACAGAGGGAATCTCCCAGACCTGGCTTTGTAAGTTACACTGGATATGGGTCTGTACAGAGGGAATATCCCAGGTCTGGCTTTGTAAGTTACACTGAATATGGGTCTGTACAGAGGGGAGGGAATCTCATAGGTCTGGCTTTGTAAGTTACACTGGATATGGGTCAGTACAGAGGGAATCTCCCAGACCTGGCTTTGTAAGTTACACTGAATAGGGATCAGTACAGAGGGAATCTCCCAGGTCTGGCTTTGTAAGTAACACTTAATAGGGGTCTGAACAGTGGAAATCTCCCAGACGTGGCTTTGTAAGTTACACTGAATATGGGTCTGTACAGAGGAAATCTCCCAGGTCTGGCTTTGTAAGTTACACTGAATATGGGTCAGTACAGAGGGAATCTCCCAGGTCTGGCTTTGTAAGTTACACTGAATATGGGTCAGTACAGAGGGAATCTCCCAGGTCTGGCTTTGTAAGTTACACTGAATAGGGATCAGTACAGAGGGAATCTCACAAATCTGGCTTTGTAAGTTACACTGAGTATGGGTCAATACAGAGGGAATCTCCCAGGTCTGGCTTTGTCACACTAAATAAGGGTTGGTACAGTATATCTCCCAGCCCTGGCTTTGTAAGTAACACTGAATTTGGATCAGTAAGACAGTAAGATTTATGCACAGTGTGTTTGAAAAAAAACTTGCACAATTCACAGAATTGTTAAGGTTTCAATGAATGTTGAAACTTGAAAGTTTACAATGTACAATGTACTGTATGTTAAAAGTTTACAGTTTGTTAAACGTTTCTAGTATGTTAAACCTTTATGGTATGTTGTGATTTTACCGTGGGTTTATAGTCTTACTAAGAGAGTTCCAATTTAATGAGACTATGAAGAAGACCTAAGAAGTGATTCTGTAGGGAATGTTTTACAATGGTGGGACTTTGTGTGACTTATTCTTACAGCAGAGATATATAAATACATTACGTACTAAATAAAGGATTTTAGATTTCGTACTGTGACTGTCCAATAGAAGTTGTCTTGAGATGTCTGGAATTACCCTTTGCATTCTGTACATTTTCACTCAATCATACAGGCTGAACCAACTATGACAGCAGTATTTATAGATATTATTTGTTCTGTAAGACATGTGGTTAGATTTGTGTGGTACAGAGCTGTTGTGTGTGTTGTGAATCTCATTTATGGGATATGATTGAATTAAATGTTTAAATGTTCCCCTGAACAGGAGCCATGAAATGCCAGATGAATATAGCCTATTGTCCACTCAGGATGAAGATGAAAAAATCTATCAAGATCTCTGCTCTCTTAAACCAAGTGACCCTCAGGTACAGAGTCATGTGACTTAAATATGTGTCACATGACTTGCTGATTCAGATGTTGTTGTTCTACACTCCCCTTCAGTTTATGTCAAGTGTGGCTTTATTTTTGATGTTTTAATCATTGTGTTTGTAGTTTTGTAAAAGTTGACTCATTTGTTTATTTATTAACTTTTTTTTGAGACACAAGTATGTCATTACTGGTGTAGTTATTTATAAATATTTTGCATATTTATAGTTGAAAGAAAGATATTCATCAAGTTTGCCTTAAGTTGTTCAGCAATAATGCTTATGTAGAATTATATTTTCATGACCAAAGTATTATTTTAACTTACCATTTTATTAAACATGAATCTTAAGTCACCAGTAATGAATCTTTCAATAAGCACTTGTTTTATGTTTTGACCATTGTGCTTTATTTTGGACCCAGCATGCAATTATATTTTGTTTGGTTGATAGACGTCATGACCTTGATGATAATGAAGAAATCTACGATCACGTATATCAGGAAGATGATGATGAAATATATGAAGATCTATGTAGAAGGCGGCCTAGAAGAGAATCAAGTGTAAGATACAGAATCTGATTATTATTCATTTTCTTCCAGATCTTGATTCTTTGCCAAACTTGATGTATATTGAAGAAAAAAGCATACCTGGACATGGTTCAAAAAATGAATTGATAAACATAAAGTCAGACTTACTAATTCAAATAAGTCTTCTTTCTGAGTGGGAAATACTGTATAAATAAACATGAAATAAGTGGCTTAAGAAGATACTCAGTGAAACAACACTAGTCAAAAGGTGTTTTAATTGATAAGCTTTGTAAAACAAAAATATTAGCTGTACTTTTTTTTTTCAAGGAAAAATTAAAAAAAAAAAAAAATAAAAAAAAAAGAAAACAAAAAAAAAAAAAAAATAAATAAAAAACAACACAAACAAAAAAAAGGTGCAAACAGAAAAATAAATAAATTAAAAAAAACAAAACAGAAACAAATAATAAAAATAAATTAAAAAGAAAAACAATGAAAAAATGAAATTAAAAAAAAAAAACAACAACCGAAAAATTATTAAAAAAAAAAAAAAAAAAAAAAAAAAGAAGAAGAAGAAAATAAAAGAAGAAAATAAAAATGTAAAAAAAATAAAAAATAAAATGAATTTAAAATATTAAAATCAAGGGATTATCATCAAATATTTCCCTTTCTTTTCTCTTCCAGTGTATGTTTCCTTATTTTTGTTGTAGTAGATGTAATGTTGAAATTGGTTTGTTCTAATTAACTGTATGTGTAATATGAATTTCAATGTGTACAATCTCTTAAGAATCCAGATTATTACTTCATTTTCACTTCTTCATAAAATAAATAAAATAATTTGAAGTGTTTTAATACCAGTTTGTTATAGAGTGATTTCCAGAATGATATCACTATTGACCTCTTTTTCGTTCATGTGCTATAGGTTTCTGAACTGCCACCTCCTGTCACTAAACGGGACTTCTGTATAAAAGAACTCCACGATACTGAGAAAAACTATGTAGAGGCATTGCGAATGATTCAAACTGTACGTATCTGGAAAATACTAGTATCATATTTACATGTACATACAGTTGAACTTCAATATCTTGAACACTGATATGTTGAATACCATGGACCAATATCGAAGGGATTTTGAAGTCCCCAGCACTTATTTCCTAAGTACATGTATTTTACCTTGGATATCTCGAATCATCGGATATCTTAAAGTATTTTCTCAGTCCTATCAAGTTTGAGATACGAGGTTTGACTGTATATCAAGATATAACACATAAATCAATGTAATCCTCATCTGATTGCTAAATTATTTTTAATCTATTTACTTGTTCTTAAACATGGTACTTTCAGCATTTCATTAAACCTTTGAGAGATGTAATCCCTGCTGCAGACAGAGATATTATTTTTGCACACATAGAGGTATGCTGATTTTAATGTTAACAAATATTTTTCATCATTTGTAACAATACATTTTATTTTCTTATTAATAACATTGTTTAACTTTTCCATTTATATTTTTAAATTTTTTTTTTCCAGAAACTATTGGAGATTCACAAGAAATTTCAGTTGGAATTGCAGGAGGCTTGTGTGATGGGAAATAAAAAAATTGGTGAAGTTTTTGTGAAATATAAGAAGAGCTTACTTTTGTATGGTAACTATTGCTCAGACATGCCAAAGGCCCAGGAAAAACTGGAAGATGTGTTGAAAAGGAGTGAAAATATCAGAACACAAATAGAGGTGATTAATGATGAAGGAGTTCAGAGAAGAATATACACCACAGGATGTGGAATTTTTTTTACCTTAGGGTGTACTCCATACTGAGAAATTCAGTCTGTGCTTGTATTAATGGTGTGCTTGTATTAATGGAGAGTTTGTGAAAACAACTTCTTCAGGCTTTTCCTTAATTTTTTTTGCTCATTAAATGTATGTCAGTAGAAACAATGCTAAGTTTCCTTCCAAAGAAGGGATATATTTGAGAAATAGAGTTGTTTTAAAACTCTTCTCCAGAACTACTGTACTTGACTAAAAATTGTAGAAGTGAGAAAACAGATTTCCTACATAGAATATTTTTAAGTCAATACATTTGTGTTGGGGAGTGGAAATAATAGGGGTTTAAACTTTTACATAAAGGAAAACTATTGTTTTCAAAAACAAGGATAATTTGATAAATTTGATTAACATACAAGCATCCTAAGTGTAGTGTAGACTGAAAGTTAATTCAATTTTATTGTAAATTTCTCTGAAATTTATTTCTCAGCAAGTGAGTGAATCAGGTATGAGTTGTGTCCCTTTGGTTTCAAAACCATAAACCATGGATATTCAATGTAGATACAAAGCAGCTTTTAATAGAATGTAATGTATCAATACATAAGTTTTCAACAGACATTTTTTGTCAATATTTCAGGCATGTGAAAAGAAGGCAAACGAAGGTAAATTTAAATTGAGAGATTTGCTCCATGTTCCAATGCAGAGAGTCTTGAAATACCATTTATTACTAAGGGTATGTATTAAATATGTTGGGATCAATTCACATGTTTATTGTTACCTAAATTCAGAACGTGCTGTTTATTCAGTGTTTTAGGTACATTTTACAAATAATGATTTCTTTTTTCAGGAGCTAATTAAACAATCGGGGAAAACTGCAGAAGATAAAGATTCACTTCAGCAAGGGCTGGAGGCCATGATGGTGAGCTTCAGCTCTCTTAAATAAATGACATGTATTTAGAATTCTAGGGTCAAGTGAGTTCTATATTTCATATGAATAGAATTCTAGGGGTCAAGTTAAGTTCTATAGTTCATATGAATAAAATTCTAGTGTTAAGTTCTATAGTTCATTTCTAGGGTCAAGTTAAGTTCTATAGTTCACATATGAATAGAATTCTAGGGTCAAGTTAAGTTCTATAGTTCATTTGAATAGAATTTTAGGGTCAAGTTAAGTTCTATAATTCAAGAGTCAAGTTAAGTTCTATAGTTCATATTATAGCATAAGATTAAGATTTACTGAATATTTTAGGATTTATCGCTGTATGTTAATGAAGTAAAAAGAGACAATGAGACCTTACAGCTTATCAATGAAATACAGGCCAGGTAAACTTCACAACTCTTTACTTAACATCGAGTACTATTTCTGTTATACAATTCATTTTCCTCAATGAACATACTACACAAGTACATGTATTTGGAATCTGATGTATGCATTTTGATATGTTTTATATTATTTTTTCAGCATTGGAGACCTTCAAATGGTATGGTTTTCTTGCCCTCTGTGAAATTTGGTAGATCTTAAGTTAAAAATAGCTCATAAGTAGATTAGTTCAACAAGTTATAAATAGCTCATCAGTAGATTAGTTCCACAATACATGTGAATCATAAATCTATAGATCAATGCTTTATAAATCTTGCACAAATCTTAACTGTTACATTTAAACAGTATCTACCAAAAACTGTGAGTTCTCTATTGTTTATCGTTTGTGTGAAATTTTTTTTTTCAAAGTATTGCTATTACCTAAGCCTGCAAAAACATGTAGCAAAGAATATTTGATATACAGTGTATATGGTAGTCAATGTATTAGATTTGTTAATGCATTAATGAAGTTTGCAGAAATAGAACAGAAACTATGTATAAGCTAAAATGTAAATCTCTGTTATACATGTATATACCCATTACCTTTGTCTATGCATTAATGAGAATCAATTGGTCCATTTTTTTTTTTTTTTTTACGTATTAAGAATAAAATATTGCATGAAATCCTTAAACATGCCTTTTAATAACAGATTTAGCTACTTATCATTATGTAATACAATCTTGAATGAAAAGCTGTGTATTGCTTTATTTTTCAAATGCCAATAAAAGTATTTTGACCTAAAGTATTTGCTACATATTAGCAGTGTTATGAATCCCATTTAGTAATTTGTCATTAAATATATGTTAAATTAAAAGCATCAAAAAGAGCGGAATGTGGAAAAAGGTCATCTTTAGTTAAAAGTTGAGATTGAATTCATTTGTTTTCTTCTTAAAATCACCATCGATATTTCTTTTATTTTAGCCTGCTAACACTACATTAAAAGATTATGGCAGACTTCAGAAGGACGGAGAATTAAAAGTGAAAAACCACACAGATAATAAAGTCAGAATTAGGTAAGTCAAAACCCCCACAAAAATAACAGGCAGAATAAGATAAGTCATGTTCACAAGGAAGTTGTAGAAAAGCATGTCAACAAAAACATAATCATAATGTTCACCAAGGAACAGGTACACACAATGTTCACCAAGGAACAGGTACACACAATGATCACCAAGGAACAGGTACACACAATGTTCACCAAGGAAAAGGTACACACAATGTTCACCAAGGAACAGGTACACACAATGTTCACCAAGGAACAGGTACACACAATGTTCACCAAGGAACAGGTACACACAATGTTCACCAAGGAACAGGTACACACATTGTTCACCAAGGAACAGGTACACACAATGTTCACCAAGGAACAGGTACACACAATGATCACCAAGGAACAGGTACACACAATGATCACCAAGGAACAGGTACACACAATGTTGATTGAAATAGTAGTGCTTGTGTACAGTGTGTACATACAAGTGGTGTTCAACTATTAATAAGTACATGTTACAGGTACAAATCAGGGTTGGCAAAAAACTGGGAAATACGCATATTTCCCAGGACGGTTGGAAATACTGGTAATTACCGGGAATTACTGGTATTTCCCGGGAAATACTGGGAAATAAAAAATAGCTACATATTTCATTCATATTGACAGGTCGTACTGGCTAAGATATCTACCTGATATCACTGTTCCTGATTTAAAAAATTTCTGGTTTCCAAGTAATTCATTTTATATAATCATAAACAGTATATTCCTATACCAGACTTGAGTGTCATTTGTTTCATGCTTGAGTCAGATGTAGTCTATAAAGGTCCATGAAATGAACCCAAAGATTCCAATTGGGTTTTTATATAACTAAAGAAGGATCTAAGAAACTTCTTAACTGTAGAGTATGATATAAATAGCAAATCTAAGAAGAAGCCTTTCAGTTCTACTCAAGGTAATTATCTCTCAAAACAGGAGCACAAAACTGTCCAAAGCAGTTTGTTAAAACAACATGACTGTTTGTAATAACTACAGTGTTTATAGAAGGATAAAAACAAATTTTTTTTGTTCTTGGATTTATAATTATTAAACTTAATAATTCTACAAAACTGAAAAGAATTAAATTGGAAAACTTCAGTTTTATAAAGCCTGGGGGAAATGTTTCAGAATGCTTATGGTGATGGGACCTGGAGTAATATGTGTTAAATTGCAATTTGATACATTTTCCATATTATTCATCTTCTGTTTTTATGTTTATTTTATTTTTAAATTTTGTATAAGGTTGAATGAATTAGAGAAATAAAAAAAAACTTTAATAACTTTGTATTTCCCAGTATTTCCCAGTTTAGAGAAAATTTGTAGTATTTCCCGGGATGGGAAATACCGGTATTTACCACTGGTAATTCCCACCACTGGTATTTCCCGACCAACCCTGGTACAAATTGATATGTTACAGGTACCTAAAATAAAGGTACATACTAGGTTCACTTAGGTATACATTTTGGTTCACATCCCTGTGCATGGCCTTTTTAATAATTTTTCAGTTTTGAGCTCCACTCTGCAATCTATGTGATTGGTTTAAAGAACCCAAGAAAAACTGTAGGGTATGATGGAACAGTTTATGCTTTTTAAAGCATAAAACAGTTTAGTTCTTGGCTTATAAAAAGTTGTTCTACAAGTATATCTTGGGTAGCTATTAAATTTATTCCTTATAATTGAATTTTCTGTCATTAAGTAAAAAAAGGAAGACCATTTTCCCTTCAAAAATGCCTTCAAATTGTACAAATTTAAAACGTAATGTCAAGTGGATTGATTAAAAAAAGATGTTATTTAAAATCTCCCCAAGCTCACAGGATCAGAAAAGATGATACTATTGTGAAAGCTTGTATTTTTGTTTTAGATTCAAACTTGTTCAACAAAGTGTTTGAATATCTTTAAGGAACTGTTTAAAGAACTTTAAGGCCACATTTAGTCAAAGTAATAAGCAAGCATTCCCATGTACATGTAGAGTAGATTTAAATCTGTTCAATCCTAGGCCTTTTCCACTATAGGAAAACAAAATATGAAGACTTCTGCCATAGCAATATAGTTGAAATTTTAACTTGTTGTTAAGACTCAATAAACTACAACTGTCGAAATAGTGTATTCTAAAGTTGATGGCTACAGTATTGGTTTTCAATACAATAATTACATACATTGTAATTATGCATGAATCAGGAAGAGGGTCTCTAGGGTTAGTGTTGAGAGGAAGAGGGTCTCTAGGGTTAGTGTTGAGAGGAAGAGGGTCTCCAGGGTTAGTGTTGAGAGGAAGAGGGTCTCTGGGGTTAGTGTTGTGGCCATAATAATGTTTTATAATGTTTATCTGATTTTTTGAATATTTTCTTTGACAGATACATATTCCTCTTTGACAAAGTCATGCTGATGTGCAAGGCAAGGGTAAGTGGACATGTTAAGATACTCTGTTACAGTCAATAATTTATATTCTTTGCACACCAGAAGAAATATAATAGGACTAGAAAGCTAACTGCATATTGAAGATCACCACAGATTGTAATGTCATAGATAGCTAAAATATCATTATATCGGATTGTTCTCTGAGTGAGACATGACATTTTTTTTGTGCATGAAGTGGTTGAGTATTTGTTGTGCATTTTTTAATTGTTGTCTAGAAATGTTGTTAGGTTGTTTTATCCATGAATGAATTTTTTTTTTCTATTATAACCTCTGCCAAGATGTTCTATTTTTAGTTTTTTATTTTGTTATTTGTATAAATTCAAAAATGGAAGCTAATTTTTGATAAATGAAGAAATTCACTTAAATGATACTACTTTGCAGAGGAATTTTTATTCCACTAGCACTGATTTCATTTATTTTTTTATGGATAGAGAGATGAGATTGAGAGAAAGACCAGAGTAACTCTCATTTGTTCAATTTGTCATTAAAGTGACCCAGTTTATTTGGTTGTAATAAAGACTACTTTTATCAAATCCAGCTAGTTACATGTGACAAGAACTCACTAAGTTTTGATTTTGGGGAGGGTTTTTATTCCTTGCTAACATTGAATTGATTCTTTTCATTATGTGCTTTTCCCCAGATGGTGGATCGATTATTTTCGGTAAGAAATTATCTGTTGTAGCAAACTATATACTGAATGATCAGCTGATCTTAACTGTATCCAAAACTCTAAATCTGGTCCAAATCATGTACAAGGTGATGTGATTTACCTGACAGGAAATCTCTGTGAAGTAAGAGAGGAGAAGGCTCATTTTAAATGTATAACAAAACTTTAGTATTTACTTATATTGACTTATATTATAGAATGTACATCCTTGTATCATTACAATTATTTCTTTGGAATGTTTTTTTTCTTTTGTTTTTGAGCATTAGCTATATCTTCTATTTTATTTTGAAATCTATTTTGTAAGAAGTTTGTTATAAAACCAGTCTAGTCACATCACTTTACTTAATTCCACATGGTCAGTACAGTAGCATTGAACGTGATACTAACTGGCATGGCATGACATGAATGAAATCATCTTTCCAATCGTATGAAATTAAACCTTTAACCAGGGAAAAAAGGGAACCAATCAATAGAAAGACTAGAGGGCTTATTTGAAACCACCTGTTTCCCAAATGTTCCCAAGTAGTCATTTCATTGTATGGTTGAAAATCCTCTGAATTCAATAAATACATGTGTATGAATCAGAAGGTGAAAACTTAAGTCCTATTGCTACATATACAACAACTGGTTGTGGAGGTGAAAAAGTCTTAATTACATGACATACATCTGACACATTGATTTTAAATCTGTGAATGTGAAAAAAAAGCCTTGAATGACAAGCAAAATTTAACAGGATTTACTTAGCTTAAATTGATAAGTGTGTGAGTGTTTATGTATGTACAGGTAAGTATTTTTCAATATTACATTACTAGGTATGTTTAAGTTATAAATTTTTATTTTGCAAGCTTTACATGGTTTGAAATATATGAATGTTGTATGCTTTTTTTTTTAAATGCATGATTTACCTCTCACCTTGATAATACTAAGCCTTGCTGTATTCTAGATATTAAATGCAATTCATTTCCATGTTACAAGGCCCATTCATTTCTACTGGTGGATATAGGTTGTACATGTGTGAATGGGTATTTTTTTTGTATGATTGGAATCAACATGGTTTTGGGGTAAATTAAAGGATTTGGTTGCCTACAAGAATCCTGCATATTTTAAATTGTAATCACACTCAGTATGTGTACATTTACTTGAAAATAGAAAAAATATTCAGGGAACCCTTTGAATCAGAGTTATAGAACCCTTTTTAGCTCACCTGAGCTGAAAGCTCAAGTGAGCTATTCTGATCACCCGTTGTCCGTCGTCCGTTCGTCCATCCATCCGTCTGTCTATCTGTCTGTCCGTCTGTAAACTTTTCACATTTTCAACTTCTTCTCAAGAACCACTGGGCCAATTTTAACCAAACTTGGTACAAAGCATCCTTGGGTGAAGGGGAGTTTAAATTGTTAAAATGAAGGGCCAAGCCCCCTTCAAAGGGGAGATAATCAAGAAAAGACAAAAATTGGGTGGGGTCATTAAAAAATCTACTTCTCAAGAACCACTGGGCCAATAAGGCTGAAACTTATGTGGAAGCATCCTGGGGTAGTGTAGATTCTAAATTGTTCAAATCATGACCCCTGGGGGTAGGGAGGGGCCACAATAGGAAATCCAAGTTTTACATTGAAATATGTACAAAAAATCTTTAAAAATCTTCTTCTCAAGAACCACTGGGCCAGAAAATCTGAAACTTATGTAGAAACATCCTGGGGTAGTGCAGATTCTAAATTGTTCAAATCATGAACCCCGGGGGTAGGGCGGGGCCACAATAGGAAATCCAAGTTTTACATTGAAATATGTAGAAAAAAATCTTTAAAAATCTTCTTCTCAAGAACCACTGGGCTGGAAAAGCTGAAACTTATGTGGAAGCATCCTGGTATAGTGTAGATTCTAAATTGTTCAAATCATGACCCCCGGGGGTAGGACGGGGCCACAATAGGGAATCCAAGTTTTACATTGAAATATGTAGAAAAAATCTTTAAAAATCTTCTTCTCAAGAACCACTTGGCCAGAAAAGCTGAAACTTATGTAGAAACATCCTGGGGTAGTGTAGATTCTAAATTGTTCAAATCATGACCCCGGGGGGTAGGGTGAGGCCACAATAGGGAATCCAAGTTTTACATTGAAATATGTAGAAAAAATCTTTAAAAATCTTCTTCTCAAGAACCACTGGGCTGGAAAAGCTGAAACTTATGTGGAAGCATCCTGGGGTAGTGTAGATTCTAAATTGTTCAAATCATGACACCCGAGGGTAGGGCAGGGCCACAATAGGAAATCCAAGTTTTACATTGAAATATGCAGAAAAAATCTTTAAAAATCTTTTTCTCAAGAACCACTTGGCCAGAAAAGCTGAAACATATGTAGAAACATCCTGGGGTAGTGTAGATTCTAAATTGTTCAAATCATGACCTCCAGGGATAGGGCGGGGCCACAATAGGGAATCCAAGTTTTACATTGAAATATGTACAGGTAGTAAAAATCTAAAGAACCACTGGGCTAGAAAAGCTGAAACTTATGTGGAAGCATTCTTGGGTAATGTAGATTCTAAATGTTCAAATCATGACCCCTGGGGGTAGGGCGTGGCCACAATAAGTACTACAAGGGGGGGGATCAGTTGAAAAACAGCAAAGCCAAAATTACTCAGGTGAGCGTTGTGGCCCATGGGCCTCTTGTCTTTGATGATATGTCTTCAATGAATATCATTTACAGCTTTAATTTCACATGTATAATTTATCCAAAGTTGGTGGGGATATACTGGAATCGTCTTGTCTGTATGTCTATCTATCCATCAGCCCATTTATCTGTATTTCTTTCAATGCACAAGACAGAGTTCACTTCATATAGTGATATTCAAACATAAGGGGATACCTGGATGCTGGCTAAGACTTGGTCTACATTTTAGGCTAGAATCATATTGTTTTCACAAGTATTTAACCAAACTTGCTTACATGATATTTCTTAGTTTATTTGTTTCAGATGCTGCATTGGACCCACATTCAGTTTTTCAGTAGAGCTGACTATGTTCATCATTAAGGTTTTTTCATGGCTTATCACACATGGCATTCAAACCAAACTTGCATAATTATTAGGGATGTTACAATATGGCTAGAGTGAATCATGATATATCATGATACACTGGGACTGTATCATGATATGTATCACCATATTTCACCTTGCATATTTCTAATATAATTTGTATGCTCTGTTCTTAATGAGAAACTCTCCTTCACAATGTGAAATGATGCAAGTTGGAGATTATTTCAAGTTTACAAATACATTATGTAACATTTAATAAGCTCTGAACACAATAAAAAACAGCTGAAGCAAATAAAGAAAATCACTTTTATTAAGTTAAATTTAAAAATACACTTGAACTTCGGTATCTCGAACACAGATATCTCGAATACCATGGATATGTCAAAGTGATTTGGAAGTCCCAACCACTTATTCTTAAAGTATTTTACCGTCAATATCTCGAATCATCAAATGTCTCAAAGTTTTTCCTTGGTCCCATCGAGTTCGTGATAACGAGATTTGACTGTATATATATATATATATATATATATATATATATATATATATATATATATATATATATATATATGTAAATTGCTTAAAATATTATATATCGTGATACACGTTTTTTTACTGCCATATGTTACAATTTTTTGGGGTATCATGATACACTGTTATACCGGCATATTGTTGCACCCCAGATAATTACATGGTGCATCTTTTGATGTTTATTCTAATACATGCTTTACATGCTTCACCTGACCTACATTTTACACATGAGTAACTCTGGTAAAGAACTGCATAAAGACAGATTTTTAGTTTAACACAAATGATATATAAATTAAACCTGCTCAAATGCATTTTTAATGTTTCATGCCACATCTCACCTACAGTCAATGACTTAGAAGAAAGACCTATGTTAAAACCAAAGTTGAAGAGGAAATAGTCACTTCTTCGTTTAACTGAACCTGATGGGATATCATTTTCATCATAGTTTAATCATTTAAGATTATTATTATCATCATTTTAAGCATTTTTATCTTGATTTGTTTACAGAAATGTATGTTTGTCTCTCATCCTAATCCCTGCTTCTTGTATATTACAGGGGGAATCTTACAGTTTTAAAGAGGCCATCATTTTGGCTGTGTATAAAGTCCATGACCAACAGCCCGCAAACAGGGAAACACAGCGTCGTGGAGACAAGGTAGCGTACACACCCAACACAAAGAAAGAGATGGGAGGGGGGACATTGTCACATCCAACACAAAGTAAGAGATGGGAGAGGGAACATTGTACACATCCAACACAAAGTAAGAGATGAGAGAGGGAACATTATACACATCCAACATAAAGTAAGAGATGGGAGGCGGGTCATTGTACACATCTAACACAAAGTAAGAGATGGGAGGGGGGGGAGGCATTGTACACATCCAACACAAAGTAAGAGATGGGAGAGGGAATATTGTACACATCCAACACAAAGTAAGAGACAGGAGGGAGAACATTGTACACATCCAACACAAAATAAGAGATGAAAGCTAGTCATTGTACACATCCAACACAAAGTAAGAGATGGGAGGGGGGACATTGTCACATCCAACACAAAGTAAGAGATGGGAGAGGGAACATTGTACACATCCAACACAAAGTAAGAGATGGGAGGCGGGTCATTGTACACATCCAACACAGAGTAAGAGACTGTAGGGAGTCATTGTACTCATCCAACACAAAGTAAGAGATGGGAGAGGGAACATTGTACACATCCAACACAAAGTAAGAGATGAGAGAGGGAACATTATACACATCCAACATAAAGTAAGAGATGGGAGGCGGGTCATTGTACACATCTAACACAAAGTAAGAGAGGGGGGGGGGGGAGGCATTGTACACATCCAACACAAAGTAAGAGATGGGAGAGGGAATATTGTACACATCCAACACAAAGTAAGAGACAGGAGGGAGAACATTGTACACATCCAACACAAAATAAGAGATGAAAGCTAGTCATTGTACACATCCAACACAAAGTAAGAGATGGGAGGGGGGACATTGTCACATCCAACACAAAGTAAGAGATGGGAGAGGGAACATTGTACACATCCAACACAAAGTAAGAGATGGGAGGCGGGTCATTGTACACATCCAACACAGAGTAAGAGACTGTAGGGAGTCATTGTACTCATCCAACACAAAGTAAGAGATGGGAGAGGGAACATTGTACACATTCAACACAAAGTAAGAGATGAGAGAGGGAACATTATACACATCCAACATAAAGTAAGAGATGGATGGCGGGTCATTGTACACATCTAACACAAAGTAAGAGATGGGAGGAGGGGGGGGGGGGCATTGTACACATCCAACACAAAGTAAGAGATGGGAGAGGGAATATTGTACACATCCAACACAAAGTAAGAGACAGGAGGGAGAACATTGTACACATCCAACACAAAATAAGAGATGAAAGCTAGTCATTGTACACATCCAACACAAAGTAAGAGATGGGAGGGGGGACATTGTACACATCCAACACAAAGTAAGAGATGGGAGAGGGAACATTGTACACATCCAACACAAAGTAAGAGATGGGAGGCGGGTCATTGTACACATCCAACACAGAGTAAGAGACTGTAGGGAGTCATTGTACTCATCCAACACAAAGTAAGAGATGGGAGAGGGAACATTGTACACATTCAACACAAAGTAAGAGATGAGAGAGGGAACATTATACACATCCAACATAAAGTAAGAGATGGATGGCGGGTCATTGTACACATCTAACACAAAGTAAGAGATGGGAGGAGGGGGGGGGGGGGGCATTGTACACATCCAACACAAAGTAAGAGATGGGAGAGGGAATATTGTACACATCCAACACAAAGTAAGAGACAGGAGGGAGAACATTGTACACATCCAACACAAAGTAAGAGATGGGAGGGTGAATATTGTACACATCCAACACAAAATAAGAGATGAAAGCTAGTCATTGTACACATCCAACACAAAGTAAGATATGGGAGAGGGAACATTGTACACATCCAACACAAAGAGAGGAGAGAGGAAACAATGTACACATCCAACACAAAGTAAGAAATGGGAAAGGGAACATTGTACACATCCAACACAAAGAGATGAGAGAGGGAACATTGTACACATCCAACACAAACTAAGAAATGGGAGAGGGAACATTGTACACATCCAACACAAAGAGATGAGAGAGGGAACATTGTACACATCCAACACAAAGTAAGAAATGGGAGAGGGAACATTGTACACATCCAACACAAAGAGATGAGAGAGGGAACATTGTACACATCCAACACAAAGAGATGAGAGAGGAAACAATGTACACATCCAACACAAAGTAAGAAATGGGAGAGGGAACATTGTACACATCCAACACAAAGAGATGAGAGAGGGAACATTGTACACATCCAACACAAAGTAGAGATCAGAGGATGAATATTGCACACATCCAACACAAGGTAAGGGATGGGAGGATGAATATTGTACACATCCAACACAAAGTAAGAGATGGAGAGGAGTCATTGTCCATATTCAAAAGTAAGATAAGATCGGGGAATATTGTACACATCCAACACAAAGTAAGAGATGAGATAGGGAACAGTGTGCACATCCAAAAGTAAGGGATGGGAGAGGGAACATTTTTCACATCCAACACAAAGTAAGAGACTGTAGGGAGTCATTGTACACATCCAACACAAAGTATGAAATGGAAGGGATTCATTGTACACATCCAACACAAAGTAAGAGATGGGAGGAGGAACATTGCACACATCAAAACAAAGTAAGAGATGGGAGAGAGAACATTGTACACATCCAACACAATGTAAGAGATGGGAGGGGGAACATTGTACACATTCAACACAAGGTAAGGGATGGGAGAGGGGGTCATTGTACACATCCAACACAAAGAGATGGAGGGGAGTTTTTGTACACATCCAAAAGTAAGATGAGAGGGGGAACATTATACACATCCAACACAAAGTAAGAGATGGGAGAGGGAACATTATACACATCCAACACAAAGAGATGGGAGAGGGAACATCCTACACATCCAACACAAAGTAAGAGATTGTGGGGAGTCATTGTACACATCCAACATTCAAAAATAAGAGATGAGAGGGGGAACATTGTACACATCCAACACAAAGTAAGAGACTGTAGGGAGTCATTGTACACATCCAACACAAAGTATGAAATGGAAGGGATTCATTGTACACATCCAACACAAAGTAAGAGATGGGAGGAGGAACATTGCACACATCAAAACAAAGTAAGAGATGGGAGAGAGAACATTGTACACATCCAACACAATGTAAGAGATGGGAGGGGGAACATTGTACACATCCAACACAAGGTAAGGGATGGGAGAGGGGGTCATTGTACACATCCAACACAAAGAGATGGAGGGGAGTTTTTGTACACATCCAAAAGTAAGATGAGAGGGGGAACATTATACACATCCAACACAAAGTAAGAGATGGGAGAGGGAACATTATACACATCCAACACAAAGAGATGGGAGAGGGAACATCCTACACATCCAACACAAAGTAAGAGATTGTGGGGAGTCATTGTACACATCCAACATTCAAAAGTAAGAGATGAGAGGGGGAACATTGTACACATCCAACACAAAGTAAGAGATGGGAGAGGGAACATTATACACATCCAACACAAAGAGATGGGAGAGGGAACATCCTACACATCCAACACAAAGTAAGAGATTGTGGGGAGTCATTGTACACATCCAACATTCAAAAGTAAGAGATGAGAGGGGGAACATTGTACACATCCAACACAAAGTAAGAGATGGAAGGGAGTCACTGTACACATCCAAAAGTAAGACACAGGAGGGAGAACATTGTACACATCCAACACAAAGTAAGAGATGGGAGGAGGAACATTGCACACATCCAACACAAAGTATGAGATGGAAGGGAGTAATTGTACATATCCAACACAAAGTAAGAGATGGAAAGGAGTCACTGTACACATCCAAATGTAAGAGATGAGAGGGGGAACATTGTACACATCCAACACAAAGTAAGAGATGGGAGGGTGAATATTGTACACATCCATCACAAATTAAGAGATGGGAGAGGGAACATTGTACACATCCAACACAAAGTAAGAGATGAGAGAGGGAACATTATACACATCCAACATAAAGTAAGAGATGGGAGGGAGTCATTGTACACATCCAAAAATAAGATGAGAGAGGAAACATTGTACACATCCAACACAAAGTAAGAGATGGGAGAGGGAACATTATACACATCCAACATAAAGTGAGAGATGGGAGGGAGTCATTGTACACATCCAAAAATAAGATGAGAGAGGGAACATTGTACACATCGAAAAGTAAGAGATGGGAGGGTGAACATTGTACACATCCAAAGTAAGAGATGGGAGGGGGAATATTGTATACATCCAACATATAGTAAGAGATGGAAGGGGGTCATTGTACACATCCAAAAGTAGGAGATGGTAGGGGAAATAGTGTACACATCCAACACAAAGAGATGGGAGAGGGAACATTGTACACATCCAACACAAAGTAAGATATGGAATGGTGAATATTGTACACATCCAACACAAAGTAAGAGATGGAAGGGAGTCACTGTACACATCCAAAAGTAAGAGATGAGAGGGGGAACATTGTACACATCCAACACAAAGTAAGAGATGGGAGGGTGAATATTGTACACATCCAACACAAAGAGATGGGAGGGGAGTCATTGTACACATCCAACACAAAGTATGAGATGGAAGTGAGTCATTGTACACATCCAACACAAAGTAAGAGATGGAAGGGAGTCACTGTACACATCCAAATGTAAGAGATGAGAGGGGGAACATTGTACACATCCAACACAAAGTAAGAGATGGGAGGGTGAATATTGTACACATCCAACACAAAGTAAGAGATGGAAGCAAGTCATTGTACACATCCAAACAAAGTAAGAGATGGAAGGGAGTCATTGTACACATCCAAAAGTAAGAGATGAGAGGGGGAATATTGTACATCCAGCACAAAGTAAGGGATGGGAGAGGGAACAATGTACTCATCCAACACAAAGTAAGAGATGGGAGAGGGAACATTGTACACATCCAACACAATGTAAGAGATGAGAGAGGGAACATTGTACACATCCAACACAAAGTAAGAGATGAGAGAGGGAACATTATACACATCCAACATAAAGTAAGAGATGGGAGGGAGTCATTGTACACATCCAACACAAAGTAAGAGATGGGAGGCAGGTCATTGTACACATCCAACACAGAGTAAGAGATGGGAGAGGGAACATTGTACACATCCCACACAAAGTAAGAGAGGGGAGAGGGAACATTGTACACATCCAACATAAAGTAACAGATGGAAGGGGGTCATTGTACACATTCAAAAGTAAGAGATGGGAGGGGAAATATCATACACATCCAAAATTAAGAGATGGGAGGGTAAACTTTGTGCACATCTAAAACTAAGAGATTGTTGATGGGGGTTAATGTTAATTGTTGATGTGCTCACCTTATAGGACAAGGTATTAAACATGTGAAAATCAAAGTATTAATAGTAGATTGATTGAGAATGTTTATGTAAATGACTTGTAGAAATAGGGGAAAGGAATTGCATCTAATGGGAATGAGAGAAGAGGATTTTATGTGAACACCTCAGGAGAAATGGGGGGTTCAATGTATGCACCCAAAGAAAGAGCTGCCCGTGGGGTAGTTGGGGGGTTATGATGGGGCAGATGTAAGAGAGAGATGTGAAGGGTTATAGATGGAATGTGTCAGAGGTTAGGTACATGTGTTTGTGGTTAGGGAGGAGGAGTACAGTGTAAACACATTGGATGTGTTGTTGTGGATGGGAAAATGAAAGTCAATTACAACATTGTAGCGTTTTAGATAGCAGTATCGGTGACCTTCTCTAGGAATACTCCATGTATTGTCATATGCATATCATCTGGACATTTGTTAATGGTATCTGTGACCTACATTGAGACTACTCCCAGTTTTGTGGCATGCTTATCATTTGGACATTTGTTAGTGGTATCTATGACCAACTTTGAGATGCTAATCATTTCATGATTTGGACATTTGTTAGTGGTATCTGTGGTCTACTTTGAGCATTACAGTAGACATTAGACAATAATGGAGATAAAATTTAAACAGAGCAGTTGAAATGTATACAGATCATACATTTACAAATCATAAACAACAGTTTTAAAATGATATAGAGCTTAATTGCTCATTCTGAAATGTTTGAATTTGAGAATCTAATGCATTGTGTATTAAGGTTTGTAATTTTTTTTTACAGTGGACCAGTTCATTTATAATGGCAAAGAAAGATGGCTCAAATGCATTTACATTCTATGCCAAAACAGAGGATATGAGGGCCAAATGGATCGATGCAATAAAACTGGCATTGTATGTATCTAAAATAACACTATAAATTCTGTATACACTAGTGGTGTTCCAATATTCGATTATAATCGAAAATCAGTTGATTGCTGGGATAATCCAAGCGCTCGATTACAGAATTTTTATTCCCATGAATCGGTTTATATTTTTATTTTACAAACGTAATATTTTTTAAGCCATATATTTCCAGCAGCACCTTATCTTTTAACTTATTTGAGTATGGTAATGCTGCAGACGGATAGACAAATTATAATCCATAATTAGTTAGATCGGTATCCCAATCATTGATATAAAATTTTTACCGATTCCCATCACTAATATACACTTAGTAGATTGTTATTAGAAGCAGTATATTTCAATAGTTTGATTCATTAACAGTGAAATATATTTATTGTTAAGTAGTTAAAGAAGACATCAGCATAATAGCTGTATATTAAGGAATTGATCATTTTTGAAGATTTTTTTTCCCCTATGAATTTCTGTTTAATGAAAATGAATTTATTGTCAAATGTTATATAATGAGATACAACCCAAAGGAAGCAGTACCAATTGTTCATGATAATGAAAAACATGAAAATTACACCTGGTAATTTACAAGGTGGTAGTAACACTTTATTTTCTGATGATTAAATCTGGATTTATTATTTTTTTTAACTGATAAAGTATTAAAAATAAAATAAAATAAAAAAATAATTAATTATTAAGAAGTTAGTTGGTAAAATGATGTTTATTTTGCAGCACTTACCTCCATATATCTATCAAATTGATAAATGATTTTTCGAAAATTTGTTTATGTGCTTCACCACTTCAAATGCATTTTTAAGTAATTTCTCAGTGTTAAATAGGGAGAAGGTACATGTATAGAGTAATTTATCTTTTCTTTTGCTAATATTATCATAGAAGTTATAGGAAATACAGTAATTCATAAATATATTTCAATTGAACAATGTTCTCTTTTATTTCCAGAGAGAATGCTTCCCCTCCACAAGGGATAAATTATGTGATGCACACATTTGAACAGCCCACTGAATGCAGTGTGTGTCATAAACTTCTGAGGTACAGTGTATATATACAGACTCCTAGACAACAAGCTTATAAACCCAGTATTGTTTATTTAAACAAATGTTTAGCGGTGTCCTACAATAATCACTCTCTCTGTCCAGTGCATGTCTAATTCTACTAGCACAAATTTCCTGTTTTTCCTAATAACTGCATACATTTATTCCATTCAGATTTGATTTGGTATATTGTTTCATGATTGGTGGTACAACATAATTAAAATGCTAATTTTTAGTTTGTTAGTTAGCTTGATGGGGTTTAGGTTATAGGGTACATGTAAGAATGTGCAAAGGGAGATAACTCCTTAAATTTGTTGGAAAATAGTTCTGTTGAATTTCTTGGGAACAGAGAGGGAGAAATATTTACCGGTATATTAAAAATAAATGTTTTTATCATTACTGCATGTAAATACAAATTGATACTTAAATATTTTCACAGATACTTTGAGAATAACATCAGTATAATGTTAATTTGATAAATATTATGATGTTGCTTTAAGTAAGCAATAAGTATTATTCTTAAATTTTTATTTTGTTATTTCTCATTATCAAGCCAAAACCTTTTTATCATCATATTTTCACTCCCACCCCACCCTTATATACCAGGTATAATCCTTAGTGGAGGTAATTACTGTATTCTCAGTGTTGATTTTTCATTAGTATTAAGTCAAAACTGCATATTTTAAAGGGGAAAAATTATAATGCTGTATATTGAAACTAAAAGAAAAAAAAAGCTTTTGTTAAGTGTATTTTCAAAGATTGATTTCTGTTTTTATTAGCATTTTCATTGACTTTTTTCCAGAGGTGTGTTTTTCCAGGGTTACAAGTGTACAGGTATGACTAAATTTTGAATATTTTTTTTTCCTTTTTTGCTTTGTTTGTTTTGCCAAAAGTGTCAGGGTTAAGAGTACTTTTGAAGATAAATCTACAAAAATTGATTTACTGTGATAACCTGACATACCAGCATTCAATTGAAGGAAGAGAATAAGATTTTTCTAACTATACAATCTACCCTGCAATAGTAGAACTGTCACAGGTTACTTCCTGGTTTGTTTGTGTTTTCAGATCCAGGAAGTGATATCGCTGTACATAAGGAATGCATTGGCAAACCTCCAAATGCCGGCAGTCGAGGTAAGATTTATCTGAGGGCTCACCTGTGGAGGAAAAATTCTACCCTCTATGTTACATTCTCAAAGTCAACAGGTTATAATGTACCTAATAACACCACTTTTTAATTGAAAGGATTTTGACATGTGATTACCATGAAATCACTAATTTTTGAAGGGGTCTAATTTTCATTGTTTTTTTTTTGTCTGAAGAGACCCATGAATTTATGCCCCCCCACCCCCCACAAAATATTTTTGATGTTTTTTCTTCAGCAATGAAATTAAATCCCCTTGAACCAATGTTTATCCAGAACTTTAATACATGTAATGGAAATGAAAGGTTACAGTAAAACTTGTTTAGGATGAAGACAGATATTGCAAATTCTCAGATATCTTGGATATAGTAAAGTTTTCTTGGATCCCTAGCCATATAGATTTTTTTGTGAAATTTCCTCTTTTTATTTTTCAGTCCCACCCATTCCAGCTCGAGTGATAGGTAAGCTGTTCACCATAATGGCCTCTCCCTTCCAAGACTGTATTGTTGTTGACTGTAATCATCACTTCCCAGCATGCTACACATGAGTTTTCCCCTCAGATTATGTTACACACTACATAGAAACACTCAGAGGGTGAATTCTGCACATTTTTTAAAGAAAATTTATCACCTAGATTGCCATTTCATATCATCTTACCTGAAAATGTGTATTATGCATATTGAAAGAGCATCCTCTTTGTACACACAATGCAAAATTGAGCATTAACTAGTCATTATAGTCTTTATTTCTATGCTAGAACAATTCTTTATGCTTGGTTTGTGCAGAAACATTTAGAACTTTGGATGTGGTTCATGAACGTCGTAGATCACTATCAATCAGGGATAGTAGTTCAATATCACGCTTTGAGAGTAGACGAACCACTAGTATAATTTATGAACGTAAGTCGTTTTATTGCATGACTGATTGCATGATTACTTAGCAGTCCTGGGTATGATTGTCATGTCTTTTTCAGTACTCCTTACTGGTATATTCAAAATGGCATGGCCAAATCTGTACTCATTTCAGGGAGGCAGTGTTTATTCATTTTGTGTACATGCTGCATGTTAATGGCATATGTTGTTTTATAGGTATAGATTTCTGGTTTGTAAAAGGGGCTTAAAGCAGATATTAGTGCATGATTTAAGCAGAAACTCTAGAATGTTTTGTGAATGAATTTTTTTTTTCTTCAAATAATAAATTTTTCATTTCTTGATGATATTGTGTATCAAGAATATCAACCTCCCTTCAAGAGAAAATTCAAATCTTTGCCTCTTTGTACATCAAAGGAATACAGATTTCCTCTATAGATTAAACCTGACTTTCCCTCTGATTATTGGGCATGATTTTATTGACAGTATTATTTACTTTTATAAATATTTTAGAATTTAAAAATGTTGGTATTTCTAGAATGTTACAATAACTCTACGGCATCAAATATATATAATTATATATATATATATATATTGATGTGTAATTACAGTAGATGATTTTGATAATGGAAGGATGATTATTAGCAATAATTTTTTACATGTTAATTTTGACAATTTTAAGAATTTTTTTCACAGGTATGTGAAATAAATCTTCCAATTTAGCCTGTTTACAGCATAGAATGTTTCAGAATTGTTCATATTCTGCATAACAAGCTAGCTGCACAATTGTTCATTTATTCCACATTTGTCTTTCTACGTGGAGTTTGTTCATACATTTGACATTTTTTCCACTTCATTACACATTGTAGGGAGGTCGCCCACTCATATACAGCATAGTAAGTTCTTCCACTTTTTCTTTCCTCCATCTTCCCTGCAAAATGTAGCTTTTTCTAAATGTTAAAATTCCCTGTAGGGTTTGGCTATTCTGAGACAACCCATTATGTTCCTGGTATAGAGAAGTTTAACATGTTTGTACATTTGAAAAATCTGATCGGGAATCATTATTTAACTGTTTAGAGTTAATGAATAACCACTGATTGATAGGATGGGAGTAAATCAACATAAGGTTTCTGTCTGTACCACAGGATTTGACATACCTAGTATCAAATTTGTCAATATTTTGAATAAATAAAAAAAAAGCGTAATAGTAGGTGTTACAATTTTTATTTTATTTACTGATAAATTTGATGGGACTTTTGATTCCTTTTGTCTTGTAGTCTTTAGTCTTGCAAAGTTTTGGACAGATTTTGATGTAAAAGTTCGTATATCAGATAGAAGTTAGTAGGTGTTCATTAGAGTGAATAAATTTACTGACAACATGTATAAGATGCTTATGTGCTAAAGAATTTAAAGAATACTACCTAAAACTGTTTTTAAGCTACCAAGTGCCAAGTACTTAAATTTTATTGCGCAAATTCATGCTTCTCAATGCATAGCATGAAATCATCTTTTCCAGCACATAGTATATCAAGTTTTCAGTTTTCCACTTAATTTGCTTTAAGAACTGCGAACGATAGTATTGTTCTCCCGCCTACCTCCGAGTCAATTTTCAAAAGTTAACACATTTGAACGATTTTTCATATCTATATAGATATTTATATGAATTTTCATAAAACATTACTTCTTTGGGAAAACAAAGAGAGATAACTCTATAATTTTGGTAAAACTTGTGTTTTTCACTATAGAAATCAACGGAAAACGGAAAATATTTTTAAAACATCTTTTCCCCCCCGTGAAACAAAAATTCCTTTTTACAGGTAATATGGACTGTCATTTCACAAATTCATACCAAAGCTTTTTGTGTTTCACGGGGGGGAACATATGTTTACAGACAAAAAACTACCAAAATGCTTATTTTTTCACCAATTTTAAAGGAGTTTACAAATAAAACATTGTATTTTATTAATAATATATGTTTAATTTTATATGAGTAAAACATAAGAAAAGATTTAAGGAACATTTATTCACATCCAAGAATATTTTAAAATGTGGTGATGCTTTAAAGCCGGATTTCAATGAAAAATATCGTCTACCCCCCTTATTTAAAGAGCTGGAATTAGGGGTAATTAACTATTTAACACTGGAATTTAAATTATCCGTCAATTACCATTGAACTGTTCTTTGCATTCAACAAAGATTTTACAGCCAAATTGCCATTAGTATTAAATTAAATGGGTGTAAAATGTAGGCGGGAATCGAGAGTTAGCGTGCGTAGTTCTTTGCGATGATTGATGTAAAGTGTACATCCATACTTATGTACACATTTATTTTATTTTGTTCACACTTTGCATTAAAACACATCAGTATCATAGGCTTGCTATATTCATCACTCATGCTATTTTCTCTTTGGTTTCCTTAATTTGAACAAATGAGTATATTTCACCTGATTTCACTGTTTCCTAGAAGAAGGTTTTGTGGGAAGCATGGTTAACTTATCTTCAGTTCTTTTATTGTTTTGTATGAATGGAATGCAACCTCTCAGATTCATATGTATTCCTTCAATATATAGCTTACACATGTACACATTGTTTTATGGTGTTGAATGTAAATATATGTGACCTTACAGGGCAGGTCCGAGCTCTTTGTAATTACAATGGCAATCCTAACCCTGGGGCCGGCCGCCCAGCCTTGCGCTTTGAGAAGGATGATGTGATAAAGCTACTGAATAATGACGCTCAGTGGTGGAAGGTAAGTGTTTACAACATTGAAATTATACCTGTAAAACAAAAATCATCAAGTTGATTTCAGAAATTAAATTGCTATAGTTACACTTTTGATAGGAACACTTTTATAGCCGTCTGTAAGCTGTTGAAGGATTAATTTTGTTGGTAAACATCTTTTTACAATTTTTAGGGACTGCTGAATGGAGATGAAGGCTGGTTCCCTTCACAACTTGTCCAAGAGGAAAATCCAAGGGTAAGATAACATGTTCTGTGGCACTTAAATATCTGTTAAGTCAATCTAGTAACTGTGTCTGGAGTTGCAAATTGATATTTGGATGCTGTCATACTTTTAAAACAAAGTAAACCAAAATACTTTGCTGAATTTGTTTTTGAAACAGAAAAATAAAGCGTATGATGGTAATGCAGTTTGGTAGGTTTTTTTAATTGAATTTTTTGAGAAAGCATGAAGCTTAAGCAGTATTATCACCCCCCTTCCCCTTTTCAGCATGTGAATTATTTGTATTAATAAACATTTTACAGACATTAATTGAAATTATTCCTATCCAACAACCCAACAACAACTATTCCCCAATTTTTCTGTGTTAGAAACTGTTAAAAGGCACACACAGTGACATATATGTACCTCCAGCTCTGTTATGAATAAAATACACCATTTTGATGGATGTATCAGCATAATTCCTTTGTTTATGTGTGTTGGTGACCAGACTGTGATTTATTGTATTTTGCTGCTGAGATTTCATTTGAATGTCAACTGCAAGTTGAGCTCGTATGTATTGATGGGCTTGTTTATATATATGAATGTGATATACATGTTTGTAACCAGCTTTTTATTGTCATCAGATCCGCAGAAAGCCGTCGTATTTGGATGTGAAAATAAAGCCTAGAAATGAGAACGGAACACCCAGTATTGTATCCCCTCCCCGTCCTCACTCCCCCGCTAACAATGTACCCTATGTTAATGTGGATAACGATGGAATGTCCAGTCAGCTCAATGTCTATAAATGGTATGTCAGGCATATCTCTGCAGTGTTGTTTGTCATGAAGTATGAATTCATGAACCAAGAGAGTTTCAGATTTAAAGCTGTATGGTCCCTAAGTGTTGAGTATTTTTATGCCCCCGCCATTGGCCGGGGCATATAGTGTTACCCTGTTCTGTCATTCTGTCATCATTCACTTTCTGTTCATTATCTCTGCAACAGTTGCACTTATTCAACTCAAATTTGACGTGGATATGTCATAGGAATACGCAGATCAAGTTCGAATTTGGTCATGGTCCGCTGATTTTTGAAAGAGTTATCCCTCTTGAACGTAGAAAAAAATAAGAAATTTTCATTTTCTGCTCTCTAACTTTTGTAGGGATGTATGTGTAAAGTTGAAATTGCATGTGCAGGTATTATACCAGAAAATAGAGGTCAAATTTGAATTTCATCGTGGTCCAATGATTTTTGACAGAGTTATCCCTCTTGAACTTAGAAAAAATAAGAAATTTTCAGTTTCTACTCTCTAACTTTTGTAGGGATATTTGTAAAAGGTTGAAATTGCATATGCAGGTATTTTACCAGAAAATATGGGTCAAGTTTGAATACAAATTTAAAACTAAATATCACATTTTAAATTTTGGCTGCTTGTGGGGGCATTGTCGACACATCTAGTTTACTTATGAATATTATCGTCTAGGTCTGTTTAACATAAATTCAAATAACAAAAAATATCCTTTCCAATTATCTTATGTTTTGTGCCTAAGTTGTATTTAAAGAAATAATTCTTTGCTTGCAAACAAAAACTATGAATATTCAGCATAAAGATCTTTAGAGAATGATTGTGCGACCTTTCAAAAGTATGACGAGGAAAAACGTGTATTATTTTTTGTTTACTGGGTAGAATTTCATAGTTTAGCACCTATTTATTTACCTCGTGCCATGTTCAAGAATTTAGTTTACTCAATTAAGTAGACTGTTCGGTCATTGCTCTTCATCTCTTGTCTCGCAATTTCGTCAAATTAACAAGCTTTCCTCAACTCATTAATATGCACTCGTGAAATCTCATGTTTACGATTGAAGTGAAACTATTTAGTGAGAATGTGTATTATCAACAGTTGAATAATTCATTGTAGAACCACAATGATAATTTTTTTTAACCTTCCAATTTCTTTTTCTCTGGAACAGATGTGAACTAGAGTATGTAATTTCTGGAAAAATAGGAACTTACACTGTAAATGAATGATGGTGGTAAATAATTTTTATCTGAGATCAAAAAGATGGGATCATACAGCTTTAAAAGTATTCAAACAGGGAAAAATTATCCATTAGAAATTACATTGACTAAGATTCATTGCAAATTCTAGATTAAAAAAAAATGATTTGTATTAATTAGAATCAATTCCTTGCAAAAACCATTGAAATAGAATGCAATATGTTTTACTTTATTTAGGTTTGTGGGTCCAATGGACAGAGAAACTGCCAATCGTAGGCTTGGTAACATGCCAAATGGGACGTTCTTAATTCGAGTCAGTGAGAACCCTGGCAGGAGAGGCGAACTCTCTCTGAGTATTCGGTAAACATAGTTACCAGATACATATACCTTAATTACTGAAAAGTTTAAAATTGTTTACATTATTTATCAATTGAAAACATTAAAAAAATCAAGAGTTAATTATCTTTCATCATGCTTTCTGATTACATCAATAAAGATTTTTGACTTTTTCTGAATTACCTTAAGTTTAATACTATTACTGAAAAGTTTCATATTGTTAACATTTTTCATCAGGAGAAAAAAATCAAAAAATTGAAAGTAAACTATACTTCGTCATTTTTTCTTATTACATCTTAAAAGATTTATGACTTGTGTTAAATCAAAAGTCATGATCCTTAGGAGCTTAGGATTGGCCCACAATATGAAGTCAAATTTTTCACGGGAATAAAGAAGGAAAAAATTAAAGGGAGCTGACTGTTGTTGTTTTTTTGGGTTTAAAAATTAAATAGAGGAACTCTTTACTTTTATACCATGTATAGCCTACAGTGACTTCAGTATACATGCAATGTTTGAGGAAAATCTTTCGTCTGGTTATTTTTTAGGGACCATCTCAAAATACTATTACGTTTACAATAGATAAAATGCTTTTTTCACACTTCTAAACAAATTATTAAAAAAAAATGTAATACACTTTTTGTTCAATTTATAATATGTAATGAACAATACTATATTGTGCATTATTTGTAAGAAACACACAATTCTACCATCTGGTTTCCAAAGGGGGCATCTCAAATTGTCAAAATCTTCTTTTCATCAAGTACTATAAGAAATGACACATTTTTAGGATTTATATAGAAAATATTCAAATCTTTAGTTAACAATTTTAAGAGCATATATTTTATACTTTTTGTAAAACTTTTTATAACCCTCTCCTAAGGAACTTCAGTTTTTCATGACTTGACAACACACACAATAATGGCAACAATCTACCTATTATTTGAAAAATCATTTTAAAAATCAGAAAACATCTCGATTTCTTAATTTTGTTGAATTTGATAAATTATGTTGAAATAATTGCAATAAAGGGTAAATGTGCTTTATTTCAATATACTGCACTAAGTATTGTACAATGGAAACCCCCTAGTCGGCCCCCTTAAAAACAGTCTAAAGAACAGCAGGGCCAAGGTTACCGAGTGTGTGTCCAACAGGGGGAATGAATTCCATTAAGAAACTTCTAGTTTGTATACATTTTAAATAAATGTTTTTAGGGAAGGGGATTATAGATGGTAAAGTGTTATGTTCGAATTACTGTATGAGTAGAATTTTGTTTTAGATATGCAGAAACATTTTTTGAATGTCATCTTGTTTATCATTATTTTTCTTGCTATATTTATTTTTTTTGAGGGGGGGTGGGGTGTAAAATTGTTAACAGTTAGTTTATCTCCATCCTTTTTTAAAATTTCTTATTTGATCTGTTTATTTGGCAATATTTTGTTATGATTGACATGTTTCACTTTATGTTCAAGTTAAATAACTATTCTTGTATGCCTTTGTTGGTATTTTTCCAAAGTGAATTCTATTTGATTTTGAAATGAATTTTATCTCTCATTTAAACAAGTTTGGAATGTTGAGAAATGACTATTGCTTGCAGTTAATGTATAAATAACAAATGTAGGAACTTTTTGTTGTCCACAGATGGAGATTAGAGAAAGTGAATTAGAAAAAAAAACATTAGTGCTCTATTCAAACATTTACCTTAGAATGTTATAATAGACATGTAAAAAATTATAGTATTTATCAGTATTATGCATGGTTGTAAATAACAATTTCGGACATGTTGTATATAGTTCTGAATCTTGCATGAGACTTTATGGTTATATACAGCTATTCTGCATGACCTCCACGTGTATTGTAGGTATGATAACCAGGTTCGACACATCAGAGTGGAGAAGAATGCTGAAGGCTTGTTTTATTTAGCTGATACTAAATTCTTTTCTTCTCTACCTGTGAGTATATTGGCATGCTCAAGGCTGTCCTCATAGGCTGTCCTAGTTCTGAAGTCAAAATCAAACAGGGGGCATCCATAGTACACAGCATCCCTATCACAGAGAATTCAAGTCACTGGCACAGTTTTAAAAAAGAAATTATAAATTCATTTAGATTCATTTCAAAAGAATCAAATTAACAATAAGAAGCCTCAAAGTTTAGGGTAATAATTGTGTAGTCTGTTTCACTAGGGATGGCCTCTGTTTCCTCTTGATGTCTGCTGTTAGATGTGTAAGTACAAAGAGAAGCATGCACCCTTTGATACCAGTTTCAGCTAGTATCATGTCACGTGACTCTAGTCATGTGACTGTCATATGACTGCATGCAGACTATTCAAATCCCACAAAGATGCAGGTAAAGTTTACCTTAATGCATCCCACATTTGATTTTAGAAATAATTCTGTACAGCATATTAAAGTTCGCAAGGATGAAGAGGGATTCTATAGATTAAGTATGGACAAGAACTTCAAAACAGTGAAGGTGAGACATGTATAGGAAGCTAACAGGAGATTTAGTGTACCATATTTGATATAGCTCCAATTTAGTTAATGAGCTTAATTTGAATTTTAAAGCACCATTTTCTGGAAAAAAAAGTATTTTTTGACTTTCTGATTAATCCCCGACTCTGTATCTGATCATGGAATCCTTCTTTTACAGGAATTAGTGGAGTTTTATCAGGATAACTCACTAGCAGATAGTTTTCCAGGGGTGGATACAACTCTTAAATTTCCTTTCAAATCTCAGGCTGGAGGAGGGGCTAGTAAGTCAAGGGTTGATGATAAATCTGGGTTGATTCATTTTCCAATCTTGAGACTTTTAACAGAAGTATTAACCTTGGTACATGTAATCTATGATATGTGTTTCACAGGTGCACGAATTCTGGGCTACGCAGAAGCAGTGTACGATTATGCAGCCACTGCTACGTCTCAGCTGTCCCTGTGTCGCGGTGACAGAGTGGCCATTGTTAGTAAAACAGGAAGTGACAAAGGCTGGTGGAAGGGAGAGCACTGTGTCTCAGGAAAGGTTTGTCAATTTTCTTCATTTTTTTCATCTTGATATTATCTGAAATTAATCAGCAGCATAAGCTATATCTAAATAGATAATATCTTTTAAAGAACATTTGATTTAAAAATTCTGGTAATGTAAAATCTTCAAATAATGGCAATACTTTTTCTTTTTTCCCAGAATGGTTACTTCCCCTTAGCGTATGTAAGAGAGTTGGATGATGACTGATCTTCAGTGAATGCTAATAATCATATGCAAGACCTCCATTCATCACTGCATTGCCAGTTTTGTTACCATGTGACCAAGCAATATCGGCCAATAGGAAACCTTTTCCATCATACAGCAATTGCAAGTCAGAGACAACTGGAATTTTCTGTCCCACAGAATTTCTTGTGTCCATTGTCCAGCTTCCCCCCTTGAGCCGCCAGAGAACACTGCCCTGTTTTGCTCCATGATTTTACATGTACTTGCATTATATTTTGTTGCGAAAGGTGCCATTCTCGTATTATGGTAGTTTGACACATAGACAGAAAAATTCCATTGATAATGTGATGTCTCTTATAGGGATGTTTCCTGTACTCTGTGATATTTATAGCAATTAATTAACACTGTTAATGACTCATCACCCCTGACAGTATTGTTTATGACACGCAGCATAATACACCCTGTATAACAGTATAGTCATATTGTAATAATTATAGCCCCTTCTCCTTCAGCCTCTTTATGAGCTTTCTGCTACTAGCATTATTTGCTTGAAATGTTGATTTATCAGGAAACAAATTTAAAATGTAATATAGAAAAATTGGAGACATTTTCAGTATTGGAACCCCTTAACCTGTACTTAATATTGGAGAAATATACTTAAAGTCATTTGGAGTATTAATAGAATTGGAAAGAAGATAAGGTATACATTATCTTTTAACAGATGAACATAAAAGTGTATACTAGTGTATATATATATATATATATATATATATATATATATATATATATATATATATATATATATATATATATATATATATATATATATATATATATATATATATATATAGCCAAACTTAATATAGAAGAAAATTCTGCATCCATTACATCCCTTGGAATTTTTATTACACCTGTGTATTATGTCTTAAGTTAAACGATGATATAAATCTATTATTTACATAAATGCTATAATTATTTTCTTTCTATTGATTTGGTTTTGAATTTGAAGTATGACATTTTTATATCCATGCCAAAATCATGACATATACATATAGAAACAACTCGCAGTATAGCTAAGCTTGTTGTATTTACATTGATAATTATGTTAACCATGTGACCATTCTTCAACACTGAATCCTGCAGTAACTCTCTTTACTATATTTAATGAAGAATGAACCAATATCTTGGACTTTCTAAAAGTGTAACATTCAGAAATTAAACATACTGCCTTTTTCACTATAAGAAAAATGATTGATGTAACGGACTTAAGTACATGAAAAGCTATGCATTTATAAATAATGATATAGTTATCATTCATGCTCACCATGGACTCTGTGTGATATATACTGTATAAATCTGGGACTAAATTACACCCCCTCCTATTAAACAGGCCCCGTCTTACTGTGTGTATAGAGTGTAAGTCAGTTACCATTGTAGCTCATTATCATCATAAGCTGGGATGATTTGTTGAAAAAAATTGCTATTTATCTTGAACTCAGTTAATAAAAGTTAAAAAATCTCCAGACTGCCTCTTATGATTGTGTGCTCATGTATGAATTTTAATTTATGACATGATGAGCAATTCCGAGAGCAGAAGAGTGTCGGGTTTGGATACAAGATGATAAAATTGATTCTGAGGTAACATTGTGTTTTTAGCTCACCTGAGCTGAAAGCTCAAGTGAGCTTTTCTTATCACCTGTTGTCCGGCGTAAGTCCGTCCATTGGTCTGTCTTAAAACTTCTTGCATTTTCAACTTCTTTTCAAGAACTACTGGGCCAGTTTTAACCAAAGTTGGTATAAAGTAGGGGATTCTAAATTGTTAAAATGAAGGTCCAACCCCCTTCCAAGTGGAGATGATCAAGAAAAGGCAAAAATAGGTTGGGGTTATTAAAAATCTTCTCAAGAACCACTAGACCAGAAAAGATTAAACTTAGGTGGAAGGTTCCTGAGGTATTGTAGATTCTAAATTGTTCAAATCATTGATTCCGGGGGTAGGATGGGGCCACCATAGGGAATCAAAGCTTTACGTTGAAATATATAGGAGAAATCTTTAAAAATCTTCTTCCTAAGTACCATTTTACCAGGAAAGCTGAAACTTATGTGGAAGCTTCCTGAGGTAGTGTAGATTCTAAATTGTCCAAATCATGGCCCTGGGGGGTAGGGTGGGGCCACCATAGGGAATCAAAGTTTTACATTGAAGTATATAGGAGAAATCTTTAAAAATCTTCTTCTCAAGTACCATTTTACCAGGAAAGCTGAAACTTATGTGGAAGCTTCCTGAGGTAGTGTAGATTCTAGCCCCCTGGGGTAGGGTTGGGCCACAATAGGGAATCAAAGTTTTGCCTTGAAATATATATGAAAAATCGTTTAAAATCTTCTTGTCAAGAACCACTGGACCAAAAAAGCTGAATCATATATTGAAGCTTCCTAAGGTAGTGTAGATAAAAAATCATGACCTCTGGGAGTCGGGCGGGGCGACAGTAGGGATTATATAGGAAAAAAATCTTTAAAACTCCTCAAGAGAAAGTCCATGATGAATCATATTAATGTTGGAGCATTCTCTGGTAGTATAGATCCATTTTTGTTCAAATCACAGGCCCAGTGTATAGGGTGGGGTCATAAAAGGCGATCAAAAATACAGAAGAATATGTAATTTGGGGGAAAAATCTGATGCAGAACAGCAAGACCAAAGTGACTCAGGTGAGCGTTGTGGCCCATGGACCTCTTGTTTGTTTTTGTCGAAAGGATGGTAATTGTTGCACCTGCACAGTTTATATTTTAGGTTTAAATTCTGTTGACGTGAATATGTTGCACAAAATTTCTCAGAAATTGAATTAAGCAAAAGCTAACCTTTCTACAGTAAACAAAACCCTGACTATAATTTATCAGCAAAGTTGTCAACTGAACCATTACAAGATACATTGTAATAAGAATCAATAAAATTACTTTTTCTTCAACAGCTGCAATGTTAATTCCCATACTAACAACCAAGAAAGCATTTTTGTGTCGCCTGCAGAGCAGAGCGACACTAAGGGATCACTTTACCTCTGTCTGTCTGTCCGTCTGTCACATCCTATATCTCGAGAACTGTAAGAGGTATAGATTTGATATTTTGCACATATATTGCTTGGCACTATGGCTTTTGTAAATTACCATAGTTACCACCTTGTGACCCTTGACCTTAATCTTTTTACCTACTTTTCAAAATAGGTCATAGTGCCGATTAACAGCATATTTTTGACATTTAAGAAGTAAGTCTTGGCTATTTAGCATGTACACTGCTTGTCATTAGACAATATGAAAAATGCCAGCATTACAATCCAGTTGACCTTTAAGGTAGTCTGATCCTCAGGTTCTGAAAATCAGCTTTTAAGTAATTGAAAATTCTCACAAAAATGTCTCTCTGATTTCACACAGTAACGTGAATTTACCCATGGAATTTCTTCAAAGTTCATCATTATAGTTAATCACATTATATAGGGAAAATTATCAAATCTCAAATATATCTTCAGGAAATGCCAATAAAAACACCAGCTATGCATTTTCTATTTGAAAGGAGATGGGTGAACATGACGAGCGATAAGCCTATAGTGTGACAAACATGAAGATGAAAAATTAAATTTCAATTATATCAAAATTTCCCTTGATATTTCGTCTAACATTAAAATATACTTTATGTAAAATCTCTACAATTTACAAAAATCCCTCAAAGATTGAAATTATTTGCCTGTGAAATATTAGACACACACTAAAGCGGGCAAAAAGAGTCATTTTCTCATACTATAACACTATTTTTCGATCTGGGTGGGTCTTCGCTCCACCTTTTTGAAAGTTAATCCTCAAAGTTTGCATAAAAATATACATTTGTTGGTTACCAAAAATATGGAGCAATGACCCACTATACCTTAAAAATATACTTTTATGACATAACATTCGCATCTTTTCGAGAAATACTTGGAGTCCATTAAGTCAAGGGTCATATCACAAACATGATTTAAATGCCACTATTCGTCAGGACTTGTGTAGTCTAGTGGTGAGCGTGCTAGTCTCGAAAGAAAATGATACTCAGGATTTTTATTGCTAGGGTTCGAACCCCACGAATACCACATTATTTTTTATTTAATAAAAGAACAAATTTTGCCGAGAAAATTTTCCTCAGAAAAGTTTTGTTTATCACAATTTCATAAATTTCAATAATGAGAACTTTACTCTTAATATTGAATTCACAAACTGAACATGATTTTTATATTTCTGAAGCTATGGGCTTTCTGCACGCTATGTTCGCCCATCTCCATTGATCAACAAATATAATTTAGGATAGAAAAATATAGGTATCCAGGCATTTGGAGCAAATTGTATCTTTTTTATGCTTATACAGTATTTTAGTTCCTCTTTTTACTTCAATTGTCATATAATACATAGTGTAAAAAGCTTGTACTATCATTGCTAGACATCACATCTAATTTCACATTATGCTAATAAGCAGTCGTATCTAATGCTAGACTACAGGAAATTCAATTTCTCTAAAAATGAATTCATTTTTTTTTCTTTTATGGGGTACAAATGTCAACTTTTTACAAGACCATTTCTAAGACTTCAAAGTACCTTGAATCATATTAAGATGCATAAAATGAAAATTGTTGCACGAAAAGATCTCAATTTCAAGCTTCATTTTGAGACTTTTTACATAAAATAATAAATTTAAGAGTTATCCTTCTTGGCTGAGGATCGGATATCCTTAAATATACTCTGGGCAGTAAATTTAATCTAACTTATGACTTTTGAATTTTGAGAGGCAGGATTTTGATAATTACCATTTATACATGTTTGTGAGCTTAGGATACTACAATGTATAATTTAAAACTTTATGATATTCAGTTACCACACAAACTTAATATTTAAATACAATGAAAATACATGTACATCGGGATCGCTATTCCACAATGGATCGTGGACTGATTGAAATCTCATTTAGAGGATTGCTGGAAACACGTATTGATAAAATGATAAATAGTTATTTCTAATAATTTCAATTTAAATATTTATTTGAGTGTTAGAGGACCATATTTTCTTTGATTGTCAGATTCTATCGCATTCTTGTAATATCCATGGATGCAAATTAATTTTTGCAAGCAAATGCAATTGAACTATCATGCTGGTAGTATAGCTGACCACTCTTAGATTTATATACACCTTTAATGAAACTACAAAGAAGGCGACACATGCGTTCCTTGGAACACCCTAGTTTTGTTTAAGTAAACACTGCTAAGCATGTCGCCTCTACAGATTTCTTGAGCAGTGGCTGTTCCATCAATGAAACGTACAATGACGTAAATATCAAAACTACAATATTTCATCTAATAAATCCTACTTTAAATAATTTATTTGCAGAGATATAAATATATACAATAAAATGTCTGTCTTTGTTTGTTAGTACGGGAATTAACGTTGCAGCTAATGCAGAAAAAAAATTACCTAACCCGCTTCTAAACGCGGATTATGCATTTTTTCTGCAAAAGCTGCAACATTTATTCCCTTACTAACAACAAAAAGAAAGCATTTTATTGTTTAAATGACTGTAAAAAGACGAACTTTAACCTGTGCTGGTAATACACGGAAACATAGTTTCAAAATATAGGCAAATGACCAATTGTTTCATTAAGAGTGTAGGTTTCAACAGAGTTAGTTGGTAAAGATATTATGACTATATTTTGATGGATAAAACCAGAGGAGTTCCGTAAAAATGACTGACATCTCAGTAAAGTTTGATAATATTTCATACCCTTTTCATATTGAAATTGTATCTAATTCTTTATTTAAAAATTAATTTTTTATGCAATCGAATCATTCTCAACGCATTTTCCTCCTATCATTATTGATAGGCATGTGTAAATAGCATAGTCCTAAATTTGGGTCGAGATTTAGGATGATATGTACTAATACTAATAACCGTGGTCTGCACAACAAAAATGACCCACCGCAGTAGAGACATGGAAACGTAACCAGGAATCCATCCACATGATGGAAGTTGCAGGTAATTAATTAGTTAGAATACCCCTTTATGTTAAAGTCATATTTTTTAATTCGAATTGACAAACTAGAAATTGACATGTCTTATTGCTTACAGAATATAACATAGAAAACAATTCACTGACCATAACAGATGAAGCAAAGCGATGCTTCAGTGAGGATGGATGCATTATTGTAAGGTATATACATGTAATTTGTAGCGCGTCCATTTATCAAATGTGGATGCTTTTAATTTCTATTTTCCTTTAAGGACCCTCTATACACCAGTGCAAAATGTTTTTTTTGACATCGAGAAAATTATATTGAATAAAGTTGTAAATATTGGGCTTATCTATTTAATTTTTAATATATGGTACGTGGCATTTACCCCCCGGGAAAAATGTTCAAACACAACACAGTATCAGTGAACAGAAATCACAGTTGTTTACTTCCATGAAGAAAATACATGGAGATAATGTGTTCAATTAATTTATCTTGGCCCTTTGAAATATGAAGAATACTTGTATTGATTACAAATTAGGTAATATACTGTAAATTTCTATTTATTGGAATTTAGATCCAAGAGCAGATCACTCTAATTGCAGAAAAATACCATAGAATCAGAACTCTTTAGTGTGCAGTGTGGAGAGGGTTCTTAAGAAGAAAGCAATGAAAGGGTTACACAAAAACAGACTGCAGCATTGATTTTCAGAGAGAATATACTAGTAGACTATGTAAGTGCATCTCATTTCGTTGCCCAGATGTTAATGATTCTGAACAATAATTTGATTTCAGAGGCTTATTAAGTGAGACAGAGCTGCTTCAAGTGGAGAAAGCCGTCGAAAACCCAGAACTTCTAAAACACCAGTATGGAGTACGTTTGCAATGTCCAAGCATATTTTGCTAAGTTTGTGTTTACGCTTGAATTGACCATTTTTTACTTTATTGTGTTATAATATATTTTTTCAGAGACCAGACAAGAATGGAAAAGAACCAAAACTGGTCCTGTGGCAGCATCCGGGAAATGACGTCACTGGTATTGTTGCACGCTCTGAGAAAGTTGCAAAGACTTGTGAAGAGGTGAGTAAACAAGTAAATGTAATCTTTTTATCAATATACAAATCGGTATAAATCCATTATTTCCAGTTGCTAGGGGGAGAGGTTTACCATTACCACACCAAATTAATTTCCAAGGAACCTTACGTAGGAGGTACCTTTGAATGGCACCAGGATTATGGGTAAGTCTGTTTTTGTTTTGATATTACAATTAGCGGATATTTATGTTCTGTACTATGCTCTGTAGTGCGATATTTAACCAGGTATTGGTATAAGTACGGCTGTCTCTATCCTGACATGATGACAGTCTTTGTAGCATTGGATGATTGCAAGAAAGAAAATGGTTGTTTGCAGGCAAGTTGTTTTCTATCTGCAAGTTACTTAGTCTATGCCATTTGTCTTGAACATGATTATTTTCTTCGGTTTGATCATAATGTAATTCTCTTGTGTTAATCATTTTACCTTCAAATAAGATTCTGAAAGGGTCACATAAATGTGGACGAATTGACCATTTGATTGTCGGGGAGCAAACTGGCGCGGACGTAGAACGAGTCAAGGAGATTGAGAAAGTATGCGATCTGATGCACGTGGAATTGAAGGCAGGTCAGGGATGTGTGATTACAATTGATCTTTTTGTAAATTATTACTTTCAACGATGAAAAACTTCAACAATAGATTGATGATACTGACAAATTTGAGATTACTGTATAATAACATGTTTTGCAGGCGATGCCCTGTTTTTCCATTGCAATGTACTTCACACTAGCAGTGACAACACAAGTAAGAACATGAGACGAGCTCTCGTTATAGCTTATAACAAAGCGTCTAATGATCCCGGTCCACACGAAAAACACCCAGGATACACTCCACTCGATATTGTAGGTGCTTTTCAATTATTAATGTGAAACAAATTACTTGTTTTAGATTGAACTTTTTCTTATCATTGCACATCTTTTACAGGTTGAAAATTCGGCTATAATGAATTGTGAAAACTATAGCGACTTCACCGGAAAAGACTTTTGGCTCAAACAACCACAAGTGTGATTAATTAAACTTGAAACATGATTGAAAAAAGTACACAAAGCTCAATTCATTTTAATGTTTTTTTTATTCTCAGGTAATTCTCAGTACTAGAATAACATTGCAAGATTTACATATAGTAATAAAAAATCAAAATATAACAAATGTCGAGTCATTCATTTTCTTTTGTATTATTTTCTTACTTTCAAAGACAGCAAATTAAAAAAACAAAACAATTATTGCTGAATTGAAGTGGCTCGTCGAATGGCCCAGGTCATCTGATATGTAAGAGCTGCGTCACTGTAGGAACTCTTTATCAGAGAAGGGTCATTCGTGCGGACAGCCTTCAGAAAAGTTCCAAGTTCAGTGAGATACGAATCGTCGGTGGGGAAAGTGAAATCCTGATCCTTATTTGGGTCCTCGTTTTTTAAACTTCGTACCCTTAGGATACAGTCCTTTTCATAAGGTTCAATGAGGGATAGTTTGAGTCCATCAAGCTGAACGTCAATATTTGCTTCGTACCTTGTTCCGGGAAGAGCTACTGAGTGCATAAGGGTACCTAATCCACCGTCCTTAAATCGCCAGTGACTCATAGTTACTCGAGGGATTCTTCTTTCAGGAGTTATGTCATCCTCTGCTTCACTAGGAACGTATGCCAAATGTCCAGCGCCACTGGGATCAGAGTCCTTCAGTAGAAGAGTATGTATTGTAGGGACATCTACGTCACTGACGACAAACCGCGCCAAATCGCAAAAGTGAGTGGCTTGTTCCACGATTGGTCCACCGCTAAAGTCCTCGTTGAACCAATACTTGTTAATCGCTTTGGTGTAGGCAAAATAATATCTCGCATTGAACGCCATCACCTTTCCACCATGTTTCTCTATAAGCTCCTTCATTTTGAGTATGCCAGCATGATATCTGGAATACATAATGCTAAATGAATTGTGAAGATAACGAACAGTAATAATGATGCTGAAAAGTCCACTGAAACAATACAAATTGTAAGTAGACCAATACGGTCCTCTATAATAGCAGAGGTGGGATATTTCTTAAACCAGTTTAAAGCAATTGCCAAGTTTAAGTGGTAAATGTTTGATATTTAGTATATAACAGAAGACATACCTGAACATATATCCAACACATACTATTACTTTCTTTTCTTTGCATGTCTCTGTAATGGCTTTGGAGTAGGTCATAAACTCCTCCGGTGGCAATACCGACAAAGGTTTCTCCACAAACACGTGTATTCCTGCACGTGCGAACTGAAGCTCGAGATCTTTCCCCTCTGAGAATGAGCCACGGTAAGCTGGAGGAATCCCTATCAATACAGCATCCGGTTTTAATTCAATGAGTTCTTTGTAATTTTTGAAGATTTTGCAGTTCTTGTAGAGATGACCATACTTTGCAGAAGATTGCCTTTTTTCTACTACGCTCCTGGCTAACTTTTCGTCCAGTTCCACAATACCAATGACATCAATGCCTCCAAGCTGTTCTAAACGCGAGGCATGGTCCCATGGCAGGTGCAGCCGACCGAAGTTAATGGCACCAGCGCCTATGAAGCCTATCTTAAGAGTAACTTGATCAGTCATCTGTAATATCACATTTATGGTAATATTTCAAGATTTATCAAGCGAAATCTACACAAGCATTAATATTTTAACTCACCTTTCTTAACTCAGGTTTTAAGTCCTATCTCCTGTTTTCTGGGTTGCTGGACTTTAAATTCCCCGTCCTTAGTTGAAATATTTCTGTTTCTCTGAAGATGACCCAGTTCAATTGTTTGTTCTGAATGTTATAGGGACTGCATAAGAAATTTTACCGTCATGTTTGGAGACAATCTTTTTACACCGTAAAATCATGTCAGCGATGTGCATTTATAATGAGGTCACACGGCCTCAGATGCATTAGATAGACCTGTGATATTATATAAATACTGCATGTAGTTGAAGGTAACTGAGATTTTCACCCCAAGAAAACCATTGTCAACCGAGGCGCACCCAAGGTTGACAATAGTTTACGAGGAATGAAATACATACTACATACAGTATTTATCATATGTGAATGTTTTTATACAAATGAAGGTGAAACGCAAGCATTAAACAAGTTGAAAAAGTCAAAAAGTGAAGGAGGAATAGTATTTTGAAAGCAATTGATGCTCTGATTTCAGTGACCATGGCAACACCAGTCATCAAATTAAATTTGGAAGAAATGATGTTTCTTGACGTGATCTACCGTACATTGTGCACTGTTTAATAAAAATCAGACAAAATATTAAAGGAGAATTTCAAAATATTTCAATATACATCCTATTTTTTTGGCTATGTATTTGATATAGTCAACAATTGTAACACATTTTAGTGAAATCGACATATACTGTAGAAGGAGTAGTTCTTCGTATTTTGGAAGAATAAATGAAACGATAGAAAAAAACGAACCCATTCGAAATACTCAAGCTCGTCTGTTCTTTTATCAACAGAGTAAAAAAAAAGGTTAAAATGAAACCAAAGGAGATCTTGAGCTAGAAAGCATGTCAGCCAAGGTGATGAAGGGTTTATATTAGGAAACTGAATATAGAAATAAACAAAATATTGATCTCAATCATAAGTGTTTTGATGATTTCCTGAAGTATCGTTCTACTTTGATATCAAATGATGCCTAGTTCGGAGATGAAATGAATACCTGTATGGCAATCAGATTTTGGAACACAGCTCACAATTAATAAGTGAATTTCTGCATTTGATGACCAGGTATCTAAGCCATATTTGTGTAGGTAAACAGCGACTCTCAACATACTATGAAAAATCTTTGAAAACTTGCACAGACAATCACAGAAAATGCTGAATATCGGGTATTCACGGATGAGCTGAGATTATACAATGTTCAGTACGATTATGCTTTACACGATAAGACAAACTTTGTTTTATCTCAGATAAAGTATAAAAATTAATCTTAGATTATAGAGTGATAGATTATTATACTATGTACAATATAAATAAATACTATACATCTGCTGAACGGTTAGTTATTCCAGTCACTTAGATTGAAGATAAAAAGGCCATTAGATACGGATTGATGGACATTGTCCTAGTCGCCAGGCCAGGTATAGCCGTATAAAACTACTTAGTGATCTCACAGCAGTTTGATCAAAATGTCGGGTAAGTCAAATGATCTTAAGTAGATTTTCCTTATTGTAGTATTCGTATTACAAAGAATGTACATTCATGTACATGAATATAACCATTCTTTAATTTGCATACAGAGCATTTGTTAATTATGTCTGAGAAGTAGATGAATAGGTGTAGCCTTCGATGACAGTTATATGGATTAATAGACTCCTCATAAAAGAATAGCAGAACATAAACAGAGCTACAATATATACCATTGTCTTCCTAGAAAATTTCATCTAAAATGCACAGGTGCTTGAGGACAGGACCCCCCCCCCCCCCAAGAATATAGACCCCCGGGCCTGTTCGACTTTTTTCTCATAAATTATAAATGGCTGACACATTTATGATATAATCTCTATATCATCAATTCGGAAAATTGACTTAAACAAACATTTTATAAAAATTACTACCCTACCCTATGTATAAAAGGACAGCCCCCCCCCCCCCAGAATATAGACCCCCGGGCCTGTTCGACTTTTTTCTCATAAATTATAAATGGCTGACACATTTATGATACAATCCCTATATCATCAATTCGGAAAATTGACTTAAACAAACATTTTATAAAAATTACTAGCCTACCCTATGTATAAAAATTAACCCTTGTTGATTTTATATTATAGAGAGTGGGGTAGATTTTATAAAATGTTTGTTTAAGGTAATTTTTCGAATTGTTGGTATAGATTATATCACAAATATGTCGTTGAAAGATAATTTATGGGAAAAAAGTCGAAAAGGCCCGGGGTCTATATGGGGGGTGGGGGGTGGGGGGGGGGAGGGGGTCCTGTCCTCAAACACCTGTGCTAAAATGAAGTTACTGTCTACATGCAGTGCTTGTTTATACTCAGCGATCACATTTTAACCATATTTTATCCTTTTCTCTATTTCGGGTCACTGGTGATTTACATGAGACCATAGAGAAAATTCTTGATTTTTTAATTGTAAATAGGCAGTGATAAATCAGAAAAACTGATTAATACCAGGAGCTTAATTCTGACGATCCATGTCGTCATTATCTCACCGTTTAACACTTCCGATTGACTCGTTCTCTGTAATCTGTCGGATCTTAGGGTGGGTCACAAGGTAAAGGCCCATGTCACACTGTCACGATTTATAGCTACGATTCATTGCAAATTCAAAATCGCAGCAAATCGGGATTTATCGTAGAGGTAGTCGTAGGATATCTTCCTTAATCGTGTTGAATCGCAGCAGATCGCAAAATTCGGCGATTGTTTTGAACATGTTCAAAACAATCGTGGACACAGCACGATAATCGCACAACACCCGCACTGCACTCGTACACAAAATCGTAGTGAATCTTCGACATTCGTGGAACTTCGTACGTAGTACTCGCGACAATGCGAGTGTCCTGCGAGTTACTGCGAGTGTCCTTCGAGTTACTGCGAGTGTCCTACGAGATACTGCGAGTGTTCTTCGAATTGATAGTACGACTTTCCCTCGAATATGATACGATGAAGGACGATTGATGTTAATACGATGTAGGCAGACGTTGTCTGATGTTAACACTGTCGAAGACAAAATACCACATAAAATAAAAGGAAAGAAGCTAAGAAAAATGAAATAAATGAAAATGCATGTGTCACAGAAACTATGAAAACCGTATCCAATATATAATTTCATGAAGATATTGAACATAATCAAAAGCTCCACACTGTAGCTTTTACTCTGATCAATTAACTTTACTATGTTGTTTAATGATTTCAAACAACTCTCCCTTTCTTCTACATGCATTTCATTACATGTTTATTCGTAAGAAATCATCATTAATCGTAGGATTATCGTGTATGTATCGTGCCATATCGTAGTCCTTCGTACGAGTATCGTATGTAACCGCGCTTAATCCTTAATAATCGTGGAAATATCGTAACCAGTTCGTAATGCTGTCGCCTCAGTTCGTACTTAAATCGTACAAACATCGTACTTTGTCGCACAGACATCGTAGACACCCCGTTCTCGCAGCAAAAAATTCCACACGCTATGGAAAAATCGCAAGACTACTTGGCGATGAACGGCGATTTTCAACTTTTTTTTAATTCGTGGGTAATCGTAGCATAAATCGCGATATTTTGACAGAATTTAATCAAAATTATCCGATCTAGGAAACCATCAGTTTTATCATAAATCAATTAAAAAAATTATGCACAACAAATTTGCACATTTTATAATATTTTTTTAAAGCCGTAGATTTTGATATTACGGACCAAAGACTGAAAGAATACGAAGAAAATGGTTTCATTATCATAAGGTATGCAACATTATTTACAGCAAAAAATACATCTGTAACAATTTATAATTGGACGAATACATAATTTCTAGAAATGATTCTGAGTGAATGTTTATGTTGTCTTAATTAAAATACAATGAATATTGATAAGCCACAATATACTAACATTCTCTGTTTTTTTTTTTGAAATAGGAACTTCTTCGATGATGAGGAAGTAAGAAAGATGAAAAAATGTTTTGAAGATACGGAAGAAGTAGTTAACCAAAAGATATCGGTACTTTTATATTATTTTTTCATGCCATTCATTTAATTGATATTGGAAAACTAATGTATCTATTTTTTTGAGATTTTCATAATTGTGCTTCTTTTACGATGTGATATAAGTAAAATTCAGGTTGGGATCAATTGAAAGTGTCCAAATTGGATATCATAGCCTGTTTGGAATATAATATAAATTTACCGGTAAAAAGGTGGGAAAAATCATATTTGGCATAAAAAAAAAAGAAATTACATAAATATATATAATATGTACATTGAATGCACGCAAGCAATTTTATAGCCCTACAGTTTGTGAGATTGATCCCAATAACTTTTGGATCTTCTGTTGTGTTTTGAACATATTTTATTGAATAAATCAAAAGGATCAGAGAAAAGTTTTAACAACTTACTGAATCTTCTATTCTGATCAATTCTGATCAATGTCCTAAAAGTAAGAATACATAAAAACCTTTTTATTAAAAATTTGTTGCTTTTCATGTATCATACCAGTATTTTGGTAAACCAAGATAATTGTCGATAAATCCAGAATGTCAACACGTCGCACACATTAGATGGTTGCTCTGTACCCGATATGTATTGTTTAAATGGACTTTGAGCTTGAATACTGTTTGTTATCTCCATATTTCATTATTCAATTTTTAGAATCATCATAACTGTCAAAAAAAGAAATATACACTTAATCCTAATCGAATAATACTCAAAACAAATAAAAAAATCCTGCGAAAGGTTGAAAATCAAAGAAAGTTTTATTTGAATGGAGTGGTTTTTCGTTGTGAACAGGTAGATGATGGCTTAGGGAGGGATGTGGACATTACAGTGTGGAGTCATCCCGGAAGTGATGTTACTGGAATGGCTGCTAGGTCCGAAAAAGTTGTCAATGCTGCCGAAAAGGTATTGTATCCTGAAGGATAACGAACTTTATAAAGTGTATAAGGACAGCTAAATACAAGCAACCCGATTCATGTGTTCAAACAAAACAAAATTATATATACTGTTTATATTGGTTACAGCTTTTGGATAACCTTGAAGTTTATCACTACCACGGGAAGTTAGTGCAGAAAGATCCTAAATCAGGTGGTACATTTTTGTGGCACCAAGACTACGGGTAAAACAACAGGTTGATTTGTTTATTGTTAAAATACACTTAATTATGCAGGATTAAATTTTACTTAAATTTTGAAAGGTGGATACAGTATTCCAAGCCAAGATGTAAAAATAGACTCTTTTGATTGTTTCGTTTGTTAGTGAAAATTAAACTTACAGTTAATGATTGATCACTTTTGCATTTTATCATAAGTCAGCATTCTATATGAGATTGATATATAAATTATCTTACGGTGTATTTACGAAGAAATTAAAACCTTTCCTCACCAGCTACTGGTACAAAAATGGCTGCCTTTTTCCTGAAATGCTGACTGTATTTTTGGCTGTAGATAAATGTGACAAAACAAACGGATGTTTGAAGGTAAGAGGAATCCACAAACTACTGATTTTCTTAAAATTATTTTCATTTCTATTTTACGTATGTTATCATAATTACAGAGAGTTCAGTGGGCCGACACATGAAATCATTTTTAAAAAAAAAAAAACAAAAACAAAAACAAAAAAACCCAAAAAAAACCGTAATAATGTCCTTTTCGGAAGTCTTTCTACCATGCATTGTCGCTTTATGTTTCATCACTTCCACAAATTGATTCTTTTTCTTTTAGTTTAACATGACTAATTAATAATCAATTGGTCGCCATGATCCACAATAATGTACATTTATGTGTTTTGAAAAGTTTTGTAGAGAGAAAAAGATTCCATAATATGTGCTTGTTAGTTACTTTTGTCCCTTAAACTTTTTCATTGTCAAAAGAAATTTGCAAACCTGGTGTCTTTTGACAATTAAAAAAATAAGGAACTCGAGTTGGAGGGGGATCGAAAACCCTTATAGCTAAAGAGCACATGTTATAAAACCTATATTTCTGTAACTTATTATCTACATCACGAAGAAAAATTCAGTTCAAAGTTCTGACGAATAAAAGAGGCCCTAATAACTAATGTGTTAAAATGACAGATTGATGGACATGTCCCAGCCATGTTTTGGGCGACTCGTGCAAGATGAGTTTTATGAATGAAAACCATGTTTTGAAAGGACAAGCTCAATGCTCAATGTTCAAGAAATTAAAAAAATAATGATCATACATGTAATATGAAGAAAATGAAGAAAAAGGGGGTATGGAGAATAAAAGACAATTGCATTATGTTCTTTAATTACCATCAATATTCACATTTTTTTTATTCAGCTTAGCGAGAAAAAAAAAATTCAGTAAAATTTTAATGAAATTCTAGAGTAAGCCATACCTTTGGAGCGAAAATCATACAATTAAGACCAAGCCTCATTATACATCCACACACCAAGAAGAAGAGCGTAAAAATTTTGGACAGTAAATGAAAATGTTGAGGTTATTTATTAAAGATAATGATACTAAAACTATGATTTCTACAATAAAAAGGTTTTGAAAGGTTCACACAAATGTGGTCGTATTGACCACAGTATGGTCGCTGGTCAGACGGCGGCAGACATTGAGAGAGTGAGAGAACTCAAGAAGAAGCTTGACGTTGTTTACGTAGAAATGAACCCAGGTAGGTTTCACAAACTTTGTCTCAAGTATGTTTTAGAACATATAATGGAGATAAAGATTATTTCTGTCATAGTTGTATATAGTTATTTAAACACCTATTAGCAGTAGGCCTTGCACAACTAATTTGTCTCCAAAATATAATTTGATAAACAACTATCAGCATGACTATAATAAAATACTTTTCGATAAAAGAAACATAATTTATTTGACTGATGTATCACTTGTACAGTAAAAACGACACCAATCAGATATTGTATTTATTCCTTTACTTCATTAACATTATAAAACTTAAAAGGTGACGTCCTGATATTCGGCTGTAATCTGCTTCACTGCAGTGGACCAAATGATTCCGACAAACGGCGCTGGGCCTATCTAATGTGTTATAATACACGTCATAATAACCCGGTCAAAGTTCACCACCATCCGTGCTACATACCTCTACAGAAGGTATATATTTAAATAAAAATCAACATCCATTCTGAGAGTTTTGTCATACTTTTTTAAAATAATAAATATGCTTCTATCAGACTCATACTACAATACCAGTATTTTTTGGATCGATGTAATTTGATGAAATGTTTCTATTTTCCTAGGTGCCAAATTCTGCAATTAAGGCTTGTGAAAATTACACAGATTTTACAGGGAAATCATTCATGGATAGAGATGATAACGATACAGTTAGAATCAAGAAGACGGAAAGATAATTTTATTCATTCCTTATCAAACTGAAACCTCTTCAATTTATAAAACCCATTTCAAATTGTATGTCAATCCTAAATATTGATTATCTAATTCTTTCTTTCTATTTAATCTGTACCATCCATTTGTCTTTTGTATTTCTATCCTAGTTATTGGTGACTGAATTCATTTAATTTGTATATTTAGAATGGTTCACCGTTTTATATTTTTTTTAGGGATCATTTGATATAAATTAAATGTAAAAATCAAACGTAAATTAAATGTGAATACTTAAAAATTGCAAGGAACTTTTGGTAAATTTGAAATCACAAAATTTTACCAAAATCAACAACATAAAAACTTACGACTTTTCAACTTTATATACAACCATTCCCCACGATAAATTAAAGTCCAGGCTTTTTGATATCATTGACAGCTGCTTTTTCAATAAAAATGGAACTCGTCAATTTACTTACCTTGTTATTGGTCATTTGCGAAATTATTTTGTTAAAAAAACATTCTGATTGTACACACAAGTATTCTGAAGTTGATATTAAAAAGATGCTTGAGTTTCTGATTGACAATATCTATGTGGTTTTTGGAGACCAGGTCTTCCAACAATCTATTGCAATTCCCATGGGTACCGATTGCGCCCCGTAATTAGCAGACCTATTTTTGTATTCATATGTAAGCTGAAACGTGTTTTTCACATGTCTTAAACATATGCTGTAATAATTTATGAGTCATATTTAAGATATATATATATATATATATATATATATATATATATATATATATATATATATATATATATATATATATATATAAACACATGTTTCTTTTTTTTTGTGGTGAACATTCATCTTAAACATAAATTTATTGTAAAAGGTGAAGACATTGAACCGTGATCAGTCTCATAAATCAGTAGAGAATACAAATCGTGAATTTAACAGGGCAAAAACCCAGGGGTGGGATCAGGTGCCAACGAGGAGTAAGCATCTTCTGTCGACTTCTGTCAAATTGAGTATAAAAACAATGACCCAACAATATGTATGGATTATGTGAGTCAAAGTGCGATCCAACCATAGGCTGTATTTACAAACAAGGCCATTATAACGACCTTACAATTTGTGAACAGCTGACTGTAAACGAGATTGTTGAAATCCTTGTATTATCAACTTATTTTTCAGGAGATTACATCGCACATCTTGCGTATCGAATCAATTGTTCTTTATATATGATATATAGGTTACATATATAACTTGAAATATCGACTTTTTGAAAACACATTGAAAACATCTGATGGGAATTTTAAACTTGAAACCCTCATTATTTGTAATTGATTTAATGTCAATAATAATCTCAAATTTTTCAAAATGTTTTGAAAATTAAATTAAATTTAAGTACATATGTACTTCCAAATCTTTATTATTACTCCTTTAGTGTAAAGATATGATCACATTATGAAATGAACATTATTATCAATAGTAAAACTTCAACAAACTAATTGCAAGGCCATTATTTTCACACTGAATTATCTACGATTTTTTTTCTGTTTGCTTGATCATGACAAGGAGCACACGGCGGGTGTTACCTGGGGATGCTTACTCCTCCATGGCACCCGATCCTCTGATGTTTTTAGAGGTCCATGTTTGCTCCGCTCCCAGTTGGTATTTTTGCAATGAACTTTGAGTTTGATTAATGTTTGTTATCTTCATATTTCATGCACAAAGTATAAAATCACTCACTTTTGGGTATTCTTTCTTGGCACACTGGTGTACAAAGTATATTATTTGACAGAGTTTTAAAGTGCGTTGTCAAACGATGAATTAATATGTTAAGATATATTTCATTGTATGAAAAATTATACAAAGTTAGAAAATTAGCATGTTTTTATTTAAATATCAAGAACAGATTATATTTATTTTCTTTCATTGCCGTACACAATTCAAAGATAAAAATATTCCAAGATCCTAAATACCAAGAGTTTTCAAAACATCAAGTGGGATGTGAAGCACACATGATTATGGGACTTGGTTTTATGAAGGACAAGAGGAAATGACGTAATCAAATGAATATAAGTTGCACACACACAAACACACACACACACACACACACACAGCTCTGTCTCAAATTTAAGAGCACATTAAAAGGGCACATTTAAGATTTTTTTCCTCAACGTATATTTTCTAAATATTTTTTTCAATTTACAGCTTTGGATTTCAAAGTCTTTCTTTGAAAACGTATATACATTGGTATTAAGTAGAAATATGCGAAAGTGTGGTATTAGTAATAACATATTCTTACAAACGTAATTAAACTGGTTATATCCAAGAAATATTTCGGATCAATCGAAACCCAGCACTAGATGACCGAAAACATACGTTTAACTTTATGCGTAATAAACAATTCAAGTGGCTCGTTGGATGGCCCAAGTAAACTGATATGTAAGCGCTGCGTCAGAGTAGGTACTCTTTATCAAAGAAGGATCATTTGTTCGAATAGCATTCATGAAAGCCTGTAGTTCTGTTAGATAGCAATCATCAGTCGGAAAAGTGAAATCTTGATCCTGATTTGGATCCGTGTTGTTTATATTTCGTACCCTCAAAATGCAGTTCTTTCCATAAGGCTCAATGAGGGATAGTTTAAGACCATCAAGCTGAACATCTATATTTGTTTCGTACCTTCTCCCTGGAAGGACTGCCGAGTGTCCAAGTGTGCCCAAACCGCCATCCTTAAATCTCCAGTGACTCATGGTTACTCGTGGATTTCTTCTTTCAGGGGGTATTTTATCCTCCTCATGATTAGGGACGTGCGCCAAATGTCCGGCGCCGCTTGGATCAGAGTCTTTGAGCTGGAGAGAATGGACAGTCGGAAGATCTACGTCACTGACGATAAACCGCGCTAAATCGCAGAAGTGTGTGGCCTGCTCAATAATTGGTCCACCGCTTAGGTCTCCATTGAACCAGTATTTGCTGACACCATCGGTGTAAGCAGCATAGTATCTGGCATTTAACGCCATTATCTTTCCACCATGATTCTTTATTAGTTCTTTCATTTTGAGTATACCAGCGTGGTATCTGTAAAGCATCATTTTTAGAAGTGTAAATATAGAATATATCAAACAAAAGGCGAGGATAACTATATTAGAAGAAGAAAAGGATTAGCTGAGCAATTCTTATCAAAGTTTGAAGATTTTAATGCATTTTTCTTGATTAAGATTTGAGATTTTATACCTGAACATGTATCCCACAGACACTATTAAGTTTTTATCTCTGCATGTCTCTGTAACAGCCTCTGCATAGGACATAAACTCCTCTGGGGGTACTACAGACAAAGGTTTCTCCACAAACACGTGTATTCCTGCACGTGCGAACTGAAGCTCGAGATCTTTGCCTTCTGAAGATGTCCCCCTGAAAGAGGGAGGGATCCCTATGAATACAGCATCCGGTTGCATTGCAATGAGGTCTTTGTAGTTGCTAAGGATTTTGCAATTCTTGTAGTAATGACCATACTTTGCAGACGACAGCCGTTTTCCAAGAACATTTCTTGCCAACTTTTCATCCAGTTCTACGATGCCAATGACATCAATGCCCCCGAGCTGTTCTAGACGCGATGCGTGGTCCCAAGGCAAGTTTGAACGGCCAAAGTTAATAGCACCAGCACCTAGAAAGCCTATCTTAAGAACAGCTGCTTCGGTCATCTATAATTATAGTAATATCAAAACGATACATATCAAGTGATCAAATTTTGCATAAGATGTATTTAATAAAGATTTTTTATACTAACCTTTTTCTTCTCAGTAGTTTCCTGCCGATCTCCCGTTTCTTGTTTCGCACAATATTTATACACCACTCAAGGATTCAAATAGTTGGGTCTCTACGAAGACGACCCAAATATGCCTTAAATGGACACTCATGTTTTATCATTTATAGTTTGTTTTTCTCTTATTATTTTACATTTGGAGATTATGTCATCACCAAGCATAGCATGTTTATATGCATTTCAAGGCCAGTGCTCTGCAGCATCTACGCAGAGGTCTACATAAAAAAAATCTTTTCAGCATTTTCTTAATAAAGTCCCTAGATATAAAGTCTTCGACTGATTTGGTAATAATTGGTATAAGTATGATTTATCAAGAATTTATTATGTTCTAAACTCTTCTTATATGATTATTTCTCTAAAATGCTTACATTATTCTGAACATCAAACAATTATCAAGCGATCTACATATTTCTTGAAATAGGGGAAGGATATAATGGTTAAGAATCAATGAGAGACGAAGGTGTGATGTTTTTTCTATTTTATTAACAAAAAGTTATAAAACGAAGCCTATTAGTCAATTCTTTTGCTGTTTGAAATAAATATTGATGTACATAATAGAGCGCAATTATTGCATTCTTTGAATTTGAATTTATTCATTAAAGGATTTTTAACATTACTTAATACTATTCATGACACAAAACTTGATGTTAAAATGTTTTTAAAAGATGGAAGGATAGTTTAATTAAAACTGATTGCATAGTAACAATATTACCAGAGTAAACTTGTATAAAAGATTTGTGTTTATTAACCTTTCTAAAGTAAAAGAGAGTTTCCATAAGCCTGGATATTAATTTGAAGGGGTATATTTTGAAGATATAATTTTTCTGTTCTAAGTTTCACTTGCATGTTATTATCAAAGTCCATATTCTCATAAAAAGACAATAAATTTTAATCTGACAAAATCCTGAAAGCAAAGTAAAGGAGCACCGAAATCCAAGACAAAACAAGCAAATTCAAAGAATTGTAGTCTCTTGCATTTAGTGCCTTAGTAGTTGGGATGCAGTTCTTAGTGGCATATTGTAAATGTCTTGTTCGTATGTCCTGTTTTGTCTGTCCATCATAAAAAAGATACAAATTATTGAATTGATAAGAGTTTCGGCAAAGATTAAAGCTTCTCAAAACTACATCAAACTTCAAGATCAAGGTCATGAGGTCCAAAATCATAATACAATCCGAAAGTCTTGTCACAAGTAATGTACATGTGAAAAAAAATATAAAAGCCGTGTCTCCTCTGGAGCAAAAGTTATGGCCAAAGTTAAAAGTATTCGATAATTATGTCAAACTTCAGGGTCAAGGTCATGAAGTCAAAAGTAATAGTTCTTTCTGAAAGGTGTCATAGTTAACGTCTTGTCACAGGTAATGCACATGTCAAATATGAATACCATATATTCTCTGAAGTTTTAACCAATTTTTGAAAAATAGGTCAAATTTCAAGGTGCCGGGGTTGAAATTCATAGTATATTTGGAAAGGTCTTGTCACAGGTAAGGTACATGTAAAATATGAAATCCTTATCTCCTCTCATTAAAAAATTATTACAAGGTTAAAGTTTAATGTTAGGTGACAGATGGACAGACTGACGGACGAATGAGACTTAATGTCCCTCGCTTTTTCAAAAGCGGAGGACAATAAATTATTTGCGGGATTAGAATCATACTACTGTAAAATGATTAATTCGGGAAAAGTGTAAAGAGTAAAGTGATAAGTACTAAAATTTAAGCTATAAATTACTTGTAGTAGCCTAAAAATATTCAGATTTAGGACACCTTTATTTTATAGTACTTTATACGTATTATCACTGCTTCACTGGGACATGTTTATACATTTCATCGCAGCTGATAGCTGGACAATATGCAAGGTATATCAACATTGTATTTAGGCATATCAGGAGGACAGTAGATATGTCAGGTAAGAAAAATATCCTTAAAAAAGAAAGAGAGGACTGGAAGTTCTCTCCAAGCAGGTTATATCTACCGCCTTCCACGATATTTTGTAAGTATATGTGGATTATATAACGTTTTTTAACGATAATAAAAACTACAGCAATGCATATCGATCGTTCGTTAATCATCAACATGGTAAGGAATCAAGAAAACGTAAACACAATATAAAAAGTACAGCAATATATGGTCTCTAGTTTCTATCATAAAAGTGTGAAGTTTAGTTACTAATAATTTTTAGCTGAATATTCCAATGAATAATTCATGCGCATTACACAGTGTTTCTGTATTTTTAGGAAATAATTTTGAAATCACAAAAGAGAGGTTAAAGGAGTTTAATGACAATGGATTTATCATTATAAAGTAAGTTTGACAAAAACTCATAAAAACAGAATTGTGATGTATTCAAAATAATTGCAACATATTTAAAAAGGAAAAAAGCTCTCTTTTCTCAATTTATTCAAGAAACTTCTTTGATGCTGAAGAAGTCCGAAAACTAAAGAAATGCTTTGAAGATACCGAAGAAGTTGTCAACAATAAAATGAGGGTACGTAGATTAAATACGAAGCACAGATTTGTATAACATGAATTAAACGAATTAATTGAATCTGTTTGGGAAAAACTCACAGATATCGTTGACATTTTGACACAGGTAGATGACAGTTTGGGACGAGAGGTTAATCTGACGGTGTGGTGTCATCCCGGAAATGATGTCACAGGAATGGCAGCTAGATCTGAAAAAGTGGTCAATGCAGCGGAAAAGGTATCATATTTCTGATATTTCATATCATGAATTCACAGTGATATTATTTAGATTAGGGGACTAAAAAACTAGAAAAAAATTAAGAGAGAAAACGCTATAGATAAATATAATACACTTTAAAAAAGTACATTATTTATCAAAAGAGGGCATTACTATTGTAAATTCATTGAAGAAAAGAAATTAGAAAAACATCATGGGATAGCACATAATTCACATGCCGACGTTTTAGCAATTTAGATTTCCTAGTTAACAATGCAAATTATCTAATATGTTTTACGGTGTGACCGTTGGGGCGAGCGCCGTTGTATCATAAAAAACCGTTACATAGCTTACACTTGTAACATTGATCCGCGTCTTCAAACTTCAAACCGCACGAGACACAGTCTAGAATGTGACATCACATGAATTTACGGAGACAGCCGAGCGTCTGGTAGAACTACAGGCCTAGTGCAATATTTCACGAAATACATTGTAGAGTAGCTGTAATGAAATGTACGGAGACAACGAACAGTATTCAAACTCAAAAGTCCATTAAACAATACAAATTTTGGAGCAGAGCAAACACAGACCTCTAAAACATCAGAGGTGGGATAAGGTACCATGGAGGAGTGAGCATCCCATGTCTACCGGGCACACCCGCCGTGTGCTCCTTGTCATGATCGGGAAATAACGGAAAAAATCCGTCGACAATTCGATGTGTAAATAATGGCCTAACAATTAGTATGAAAAAAGTCAGTCAGCATATGACTTAATGATAAATTGTATTTGCTGACATTGTCATTGTATCGACCATAGAACTTACAAAATGACGACTTCAAACGAGACTACTGATATTCTTGTTTCATCAACTTGTTTGTCAATAACTTACCTCGTTTTAGAAATTGCTCATACGTAGAGCATGCTCTTGCGTATCGAATCAACTGAGAGATATAAACCCCATATGCAGGTGATGAAGGTATATTGTTACATAAGTAAGGGAAGTTGATGGTTGAAAAGTTAAAGTCACCACATAAAACTTGGTTGTTACAATACCATTAACGTCTTTTTCTAGTAAAATATCCAAATATGAAACAGATGTGTAAGACTCTGTGGTATATTTTATCTCAAGCTCACCGGGATATATCGTATCGACATAAGAATGGAAATAACCATTGTTAATTGACAATACATCGTCGATATATTTAAATGTCGATTTGAAGGCCACAGCAAGTGTTTTCTTTTTTTCATGTATAAGATTTTGAACAAATTCTACTTCATATGAATACAAAAAATAGGTCTGCTAATAACGGGGCGCAATTGGTTCCATGTGAATTCCAACAGATTGTTGGAAGACCTGGTCTCCAAAAACCACATATATATTGTCAATCAGAAACTCGAACATCTTTTTAATATCGACTTCAGAGTGCCGAATGTTTTTTAACAAAATTATTTTGCAAATAACCAATGACAAGGTAAGTATATTTACGAGTTCCATTTTTATTGAAAAAACAGCTGATTTGAAATATTTTATTGCAATAAATATATACAGTGGGATTGGGCACAAGTTCTAAAAACTTAATTCGCACTCTCCCTACATGTTATACTGACAGCTGTAAATGATATCAAAAAGCCTGGACTTTAATTTATCATGGGGAATGGTTGTATATAAAGTTGAAAAGTCGTAAGTTTTTATGTTGTTGATTTTGGTAAAATTTTGTGATTTCAAATTTTCCAAAAGTTCCTTGAAATTTTAAATTATTTTTTGTTTCTTTTAAGCTCTATTAAAACTGCATGCCTTTTATATTATATATGATTTTTATATTAGCCATTATGGCATGGAATCCTAGTAGTGGGGGAATTCTGGGAAGGTTTCACACCAAAATTTGCCTGACGTATATGTCATTCCGATTTTCCTCTTTTCTTACACGTTATTCTATTAAGCTCGCTGCGCTCGCTATAACTCTATATCTGTGTTTTATGTCCTAAGAAAAAGATAACTTTTTTTAAAAAATTTGATTTAGTTACTTGGAGGAGACGAAGTTTATCATTACCATGGGAAGTTAATCCAGAAAAATGCCAAGTCAGGGGGAACTTTCTTGTGGCACCAAGACTACGGGTAGACTTTAGACTTAATAATAAATATACAATCTACGAATATATTTTAAACGAATTAGAAATAAATGCAAGACATTATAACGATAGGAAATTCATATACTGTTCATATTATATGATCTGAATTGGAATCTTATTATTTTTATTTATTTTTTTTTTTAGAAATAAATTAGTTTTTTTGGTTTGTTTGTTTAACGTCCATTCGAGAATTTTTCACTCATATTGAGAATCCACCACTTGCCGATGAAGGGCTGCAAATTAAGATCTGTACTCGGCATTTGAGCAATGAGGGATCTTTTTCGTGCCAACAGCTACTTTGACAGGCGACCTCGGTTTATACGGTCTCATCCGAAAGACCGGTTTCCACGTAGCGCAAATGGATTCACACCCGCGACATAAGGATTAACTCCTTACTCTGCGACTTTAGAGCAAACGCTCTAACCACTGAAATAAATTAGTCTTTAAGTGTGAAAAAATAATTGAAAGAACATTAAACATGAATATTAGTGTTATTATTATGAGAACAATGTATAAATTGACTTGATTGAATTGTTAATTTAAAATAAGTCCTCCCCATCGTTAATGGAGGAAGTATAAACTCTAGAAATAGTAGAACCAATATTAGGATCGCCCAGTAGCTCTTTTAGATCATTTTTTATTTAAAAAAGTCAAAAATAAAGTTTCGTTTAGAAGTTCCTGCAGTTATTACATTTTGTGAAGGTTTGAATGCTGCGAAAAATGGACAATGCAGTTTTGTTGACAACAGGGAAGAAAATTTAGTAGAAAAGAACATATAAAAGCATGCTACGTAATATAAAGACATCAAAAACCTTTTAATTACATGTACTATTTATGTAAATAGAAATCTTTTTTCAGATCAGATATAGCAAATTTTGTTGTAAAAATAATCAGTGGTAAAAATTTTGAATGGGCCAGGTTGACCAAATAGTGATTGATCAGGTAAATCCTGCAAACAATAGAAATCGTGAACTGGGCAAAAAACAGACCCCTGGAAAAAAGGGAGGTAGGATAAGGTGTCTAGGATGAGTAAGTATCCCCTGTCGACGGTAACACGTGTCATTAGCCCTCTGTATTGAGCAAGCAAATGGAGTATTCCGTAGTCAAAACAATGGCCGACCAATTGGTGTGAAACATGTCAGGTAAAATACAATCCAGCTATAGGTTGTATTTGCAAACAATGCTGTTATAACGACCATAGAATTTGCAAAATTCCGACTTTTAAAGATGTTGTTGAAAATCTCGTAAGATCAACTTATGTGTCAGTAGCTTGTCACAGTTTAAAAATTCATGTAGAGCATGCTCTAGCGTACCGAATCAGCTGGGAGAGATAAACACCATATGTAGGTGATAATGAATATTTTTACATAAATAAGGGAAGCTGACGATGGAAAAGCTGGAGTCATCTCGTTTATCATATAGTGTAGGTGCTAGTTTGCCATTAATGTATACAGTCAGTAAAACATCCGAATAAGAAAAGGATGTGATAACTCTGTGGTGTCTTTTATTTCAAGTTCACAAGGATATATCAAGTTGACATAGGAATAAAAGCAACTATTATTAATTAATAAAACGTCGTTGATATATCTAAAAATAGAATAACAGACCACACCAGGTTTGTTTCTTCTTTTGTTGAAGATTTTGAATTAATTCCGCTTCGTAAGAATATAAACCATATCCACTAATAAAGGGGCAATGTAAGTGCCCATCTAATTTTAAAAGGGTATTGGAAGACCTGGTCTCCAAGGACTACATAGATATTGTCAGCATCCCTTTAATATCAACTTCAGACTACTTGTGTTTTAAATCAGATTGTTTTTTAAAGCAAATTTATTAAGTAGGTGGTCAATCACAATATAAAACATTGTTTTATTGAGGTGCTGTTGCTTATGATTTCAGAAAGCCCATCTTATTTTATTGTAAAGAATGACTGTACAAAGTGTAGAAAAATTATATATTTTAATGTTATTGATTTTGGAAAAATCTTGTGATTTTAAATTTTCTAAATGTTCTTTTGAATTTTTGAGAATCCACATTTGATTAACATCACTTCCTGAGAAAAAGTAGCACTATATAGTAGCACAGTACCTCTAAAGTTCCTCCTTAACGGCAGGTATTGGTTTTGGAAAATCTTGTGTATTCTCAAAAAGTCATCAGAACTTTTAAAAAATTTAAAATTAAAAACTTTTTGAATACATGTTACTAGTAGCACAGTACGTCTGAAGTTTTTCCTTCACAGCAGAAAAATATCATAATGAGGAATATAGACAATGGCTTGGGAAAACAATCAATGAATCTTGTAATGTATCTTTGTAATTAAAAGATTTTTATGAGAGAAACTTTAAGGTCAAAAATGAAAGATATGTATAATACTTATATGACCAAATATCTGGAAATTAAAAAAAATATTATTGACGACCATCCCATTCCTCTCAGTTTTAATGCAGACAAAATGCTTAATTTTAGTCCTCTTTAATCTGTGCTAACATTTACTACATAAAATTAAATTCCTCCTAGTATTAGATTAATTTTTTGTATTGCACTTGCCTCTTTGTTTTAGATTTATATGAAACGTATACATGTGTGTGTGAGTTCAAGATATTTATTGTTAATGAAGCTTTGAATTCCACGTATTTTCCTAAAACATATACAGACTTTCCTTTTTAAATTATCTAGTTATTGGTACAAAAATGGATGTCTCTTCCCAGAAATGCTGACAGTGTTTGTGGCTTTGGATAAGTGTGAAAAAAGTAATGGCTGTTTGAAGGTGAAACTTCTAGGAAATTCTATCATACATGTCAACATAAAAAAACCCTGGTTATTATATTTAGTTTTCTGCTGTGCACGACCATAATCTTGTTGGTCATCCGAAGATTTCGTTGTTTGTAATGTACTACTATAAATCTATATTGTGGAAGGTTCTGAAGGGATCACACAAATGTGATCGAATTGACCACAGTATGGTAGCTGGTCAGACAGCGGCAGACATTGACAGAGTTAGAGAACTCAAAAAGAAACTGGACCTAGTATATGTAGAATTAGACCCAGGTAAGTTTCATTTATTGCATATTATATTCATATTAAAAACCCAAAGTCATTCATTTTGTTCAGAAGAGAGGATAGAAATTATCATAACTGAAAAAAAATCTGTATGGGTAATTTGCATAAATTGCAATTATTATATCACCTTTTCAGATCATTATTGCCCAATTCCTATCTATGTTTTACTCGTGATTTTATATATGTGTGTAACAGTGGTCACGAATAACAATGATCATTTGCTTTCATTTAAGAAAAATAATTGAAAAAAGAACTTTTATACTATTTTTAGGTGTAATAAAGATCTGTTAAGATATATTTCCATTTTTAGGGGACGCCCTGATTTTCCACTGTAATCTGCTTCACTGCAGCGGACCAAATGATTCCGACAGACGGCGATGGGCGTACCTTATGTGTTATAATACACGTCACAATAACCCAGTCAAAGTTCACCATCACCCCTGCTACACTCCTCTTACAAAGGTTTGTTTAATATTTAAAGTCAGTTATTGACAAGAAACAAAAGAAATTAGATTAATTGACAGCCGAAGAGTTACACCCCCCAATATATATATATATATATATATATATATATATATATATATATATATATATATATATATATATATATATAATTCACAGGTACCAAATTCTGCCATCAAAGATTGTGAAAATTATACAGACTTTACTGGAAAGAAATTTATGGACCCGAAGGAAAGTTCAACTTCAAGGGCCAAATAGATATGTCTTATGTATGAGAAGGAACACATGTACTCAAAGTTTGCAATATAGAAGAAAACACTGGGAAATAAATTATATAGAATAATTCAATATTGAAGAGAGACTGGGAAAACAACAACAACATTGATATTGTTTATTATGTAAATAGAATAAATCAACTTTCAAAAAAAAAAAAAAAAAAAAAAAAAAAAAGAAAGAAAAAAAAAAAAATAATAATAAATATCTTTATATTCTGAATTATATTTTTACATGCATATGTCTAATCAATCAATATTTCCAGGAAACTAAAAAGAGATTTCACTGAGAATTGACGCATCACGTTGTGGGAAGAACACGCAAGATATCTGATTTTTACACGCAATGTCTCTAACTGAATCTTCTTACGTTAGCCCACTATGTACCTATGACAGTACAAATGCTTTTTATCATTAAATATTTAATGAATTCCTGTCAGAGAGAAATTCCATTTGTTTACATTAATTTGAAATGAATAGAATTATTGTACAATTCTTTTTTATGCTCTGTTTTCTAATATTGTAATGTAGATTCATGGCAGTGTTGTGAAAACCCTACTTTAAATAGACCGCGTTGTTTTTATCAATCCCTATACAAAATACTGAGTTTACATGTCACATTTAATAATTAATGAACAGGGAATACATTTCTCAGTGGCAGCAGAGAAAACGCATAGTTCTTGTTTGATCAATTTATTATTAAATCGAAACAAAAAATAAAATCAAAACAGACTACCAATTTTTTTCCAAATTGATGTCCCGTTTCTTTTTAAGGATTATGTGGAATAATCTATCACTGAACAAAGAGCATACTGTATGTTGCCATAAAGAATTATTCTAACTGAATAATAAATATCAATGAATCTACTCGCGTTTCATATATTATAATTTTGACTTACTTAAGGTTAATAATAAAGCCGGTTTGTTCCTTTGAAGTTGTGCATCACACGTGGTATAAAGTGATTTTTGCCTTTTTATGTGTATCACCAGTATATATGTTCTAACAAACAGTTGCGCCTTGTTAATCCGGACACTTGTGTTTCCGAGCAAATTGCCCGGATTAATGAAGTGTTCGGCTTACTGAAACATTGAAACATACTTGGTATGTATATATATATATATATATATATATATATATATATATATATATATATATATATATATATATATATATGAGAGGGTTATCCGGTAAGCTTGTCGATAAGGTGTCTATAGTGAAAAATATTGCTTTCTAAAATTTTCCCTACTCTTCAGTACATTTTTTATTTTTTTATCAATGTACATAGCAAATTTCAAATTGATATATGCTCAAATAAACAACATATGCGATTTTAAGTTATGTGTGGCATCACCTTACGGCGCACAGATAATAACGTCAAATGTCTAAAGCAACGTCACGTTTCATCTTTGCTTTAAAATGTTGGAATAAATGAACATAATCATATAACTCATGGCCGTAGGAACCGGGGGGGGGGGGGGGGAGACAGGCACGGGGGCCGTGCCCCCCCCCCCCAATAATTTTGCCGATATATAGATTACTATAGAAAACAGAGATACTATATGCCTGTGCCTCCTCAATAAAAACGTCTGATGACCTTTTTTTTTGCTTGTCAAGAAATTTTTGGTAGTTGATAGTGCCCCCTCAACTGAAAATGTATGGCTGTGCCCCCCCCCCCCCCAACTGAAATTGCTTCCTACGGGCCTGTAACTTTGATTACTATAGGAAGAATATGCCCCATGACTCGTGTCACGTCTTATTCATACGTAACAAAGCATAGCATCAAAACGGAAACGATTACATTTATTATTAATAAACTCAATATTTATCAATTAAATTATTTGCCACATATAAATAAACGTCTAAATAATTTACTAAAACTGCTTATCTCTTGCTCATCGACAGGTAGGGAATTGATCTTCGAATTGAACGTTTAATCAATATGTTTATAGAGCAAATGGTAGAGCCAAGTAGCGTCACCATCGCTACATTTCCGTCCAAGAATTTCGGTATGTCAATATTATTTCACAATGTTTCATTTAAACTCAAAGGACTTTTGAGGCTGTATGAAATAAATTCAAAGTAAGTTTAGCACAAGCCTTTATAAAAAATCTATTTTTCTAGACGAACGTGTTTTCTATTGTTCACTTAGAATATAATTTTGAAAAAAAAAATCAATTATTCCAGTTGTTAAATTGAATTTGTTTCATATATGTGCAAGTTTAATCTACAATATGACAGTGAATTATTCTGATATGAAACCACATTCTCTTTATTATTACTATACTCATAGGCCTGTTGATAGATTTGCTTATAATTAGATACAGATTTGACAAAACATTCGTGCCTGTCTCTGTTTTGATAGCGATTCAAGGAGTAGGATTACAAGATATTGCTGCTCTTGCTGATGTATTATTAAACGTGTTATGTAGCAACCAGATTTCAGAGAAACCTAATCCAAAAAAAAATTGTTTTAAAAAAAATTCTGACGTATATACAAACCTCATCATATTACTATAAACGTTTACTTTCAATTTTAGTCTTTGAAGTTCACAATAACTAGATAGAAATTAATGTCTGAAAGCCTCTAATCAGGTATTAAAAAGTTCCATCTCCAAGTAAATTATCCAATCATGCCCAACCTATATGACAGAAAGGAAGCTGATTTATAAGATCGATGTTTTTTTTCTTTAGTCGAATCGATTTTCACTTGAACAACAGAAAGAGGCGGTAATCACAAGCACGATAAAGTCTGACTTAGTGCCTGACTTTAATCTGGATCCATAGTAGTAAAAGATGCATAAGCTAGACCCAGAGACGGCTTTTCTCTACTGGATACCTACAATATCTATTTTCCTTATAATGACGATTTTTCTTGGTGCCTCTTTTTGGCGATATCGTAGGAAGAAAGAAAGAAGCCGACAATCTCAGCGCGACTATTTGGATTTAGCTTTCAGCATAAAGCGTCCCAGAATTGGGGCACTTAGTTGTCACACCCATGGAAACCAATGGACAGAACTTATGCAGAGTTTCTCGACCAGTCAAATAAAGAGCATAATGAGAGAGTTCCAGATGGATCAGCCTCATCAATTTGGTGCGTCATATGAGTTTATGAATTTTTGTTTTTTGGTAAAAATTAGATTTCATTCAAGATAAATTAATTTTGTCTTTTTCAGAGACCGTTGCGGAGGAAAGTAAAAGTCATTCATTAGGATCAGAAACAGATCCATACCGATCACCAGCTGAATATGATCAAGTGCTACCAGAACCGGTAATAAATAGGGGAGGTACAAGACAAGGCAAATCTACTTTTAAGGATGCTAAGCCTGCTCAGTACCAGTCAATAAATGTATCAAGTTTACAGTTTAAAGATTGTGAACAAACTGTTAAAGATAAAGTTGAAATTGGAAATTTATATTACGAAGATAACTATTCAGTTCCTTTTGACAAAAAGAAAAAAATCGAAAAGAAACTCAAGAAGAACAAAAGAAAAAGAAGGTTTCTTAGCTTTGCGACGAGGAGAGATGAAAATGACGATGACATTCTAGATGAACTTCAAATTGCAAGTAACAAATTCAGAACACCTGCGTCTTTGAGCCCAGTTTGCTGTGATACAAAACAATTAACAAAAAACTCTCCATTTACGGTGGAAATCGCCAGCATTTCAGAAGATACACCAGAGAAAGAGATCGACTTTTCTCAAGGAGCCTATCCAAGTTACCCCATCGGAACTCTGGACAGCGAACAGCCCAGTAATAAACATTACAACGATATTAGAAAATCACACGAGAAACGTGATACTTATGATTTTCAACCCAAGAAAGTAAAGACAACTGGTGAGTATCATATATATATATATATATATATATATATATATATATATATATATATATATATATATATATATATATATATATATATATATATATAACTTAAAATGTTTACTCGTTGACACCCGATCCCACCTCTGTATTTTTCGGGTCAGTGTTGTATGCCCTGTTCACATATTTGTATTGTTGTAGATTTTTTGAGATAGATCACTGTTCGTTATCTTCAACTTTTTCATAGAAGCTTACTTGTCTGTTCTGGTTTGACTGCAGGGTATAATTTCTGCAAGAAACCTAATTGAAAGTTATAATCTTTTAAAATGAATCATTAGATGTTAAAATATTCTGATAAAACACATTTTTTTGACTTGAGGAAATATATGTAACGTCTATTTTTAACAAGACAGATTTGTATTATTTTCAAAAGTGTTTCATAAGGATAGACAAATAAAATGTAGTCTACATGTGCCAATTGTAATTATCATAATCTTAACAAAGGTGAATCTTGTTGCTCCCTTCAGACATAGTAATGTACAAATCAGATATAGGGTGTTTAAAATTATTATCAGAGTACAATTTCATTAGTTTTTGTATTGATTTTGATTTTGCAATCTTTTCGAGACATAGAAATTTGCGCAGCATCCTGCCTTTTCAAGATAGAGGGACCATATGTGGGAAACAGAAGTATGTGTCCCAATAAAGATAAAATCTCTTTGATCGATTTTAAACGACACGTAATTATCGCTTATATGTGAGAACAAAAGCCTTTCAAACATAAACAGCTATTAGGGAAAAAATGAAACTTTTTGGTGATACATTGTACTAATATGAACGAAAAACATTTTTACTGATAGAAAATGATGAATGTTTAAAGGACAAGGTATGGTAACAGCCGAATCTGGCCCCTTGTTTGATGTAAAAATCTGTACACAGTTAAAACTGTGGCAAGTTTGTTGTTAAGAACTGAAAATGATGCTTGTTTTAAAACCAGCACTAATTTTGATTCAAAGCTTACGGGGGCCAAGAGAGGGTGCAGAAGCAAGACATTTTCCCGAATTTCCTCAATTCTGGTGGAATTTCGTCAAATTTAAGATACTTTTCACTTCAGGAAACATAGAGCACAAGCTTGCCTATCTGAGATTTTTATACACAAGATGCATCTGATACTAGTGTATGAAATATATAAATCTGGTAAATAGGCAAGCTTGTGCTCTATGTTTTCTGAAACAAAATGTGCTGTAAAATCGACGAAAATTTGCATAAAAATGAGACAATTTGGAAATTTACATATTTTCTGACCTTCCTGTGACATCTGTGTATCCCATAACTTACAACCAATACTCATTTTGTGGTCGGGGTGACAACAGGTTTTCATTGATAAACTGTTGCAACATTCTAAAAGACACCCCAAACCAGGGGCCAAAAAGGGGTCGTAGCCTATCTTGTCCTTTAACTGTCAAAAACAGCATAGTAAAACGATAAAAGATGCATGATTGTTCCATAAAGTACCCAAATCTTTGGAACAAGTTTAAGCTTTTACTTCTGAAGACCAGGAAAGCTTTAATAACAAAAAATAAATGTTGTCTGATGTTCTTAAATTCGTTTAATTTTGTCTTTTTGACCTCGAAAATTAACTTGCACAGTTTTATTGATCTTATGAAAACATTAATTATGTTTATTCTACTTCTTAGCTCACCTCAATGAAGTTGGGGGAGCTTATATAATACCTCGTCGTCGGCGTCCTAGGTCAAAGTTTTTGGAGCAGATTTCTTTTCAAGTACTTCTATGCCCTAAATTGATCAGAGATGCGTGAAGGATGCTTCTAGTGTCTCTCATTGTACCGATCAAGGTTTCAGATGCTGCATATTCAGATAAAGAATGACCAGATTAATGTTTTTGGATCAGGTTAAAGCTAAAGGAGCAGGTCTCATTTCCAGGTAACTTTAAGCCCTATATTGACCAAACTAGCATGGATGATACATCTAAGGATGCGTACTACTAGGTTTGGTTGGGATGCTGGATTTTACCTACATTTTCCAGATGAGTGACCAGGTTAAAATTAAATGAACAGGTCTCATTTCCAAGTAACTATAATCCCTTTGATGACCAAACTTGCATGGATCATATATATAAAGATACACACTACTGGACTTACTCGGGATGCTGGATCTGACCCACTTTTTTCGAATGAGTGATCAGGTTAAAGGTTCTGGAGCAGATCTCATTTTTAAGTAACTATAAGTCGTATATTGACTAAAATTGCATGGATACATCTAAGGATATACATTACCAGGCTTGCTTCTGTGGTGGATCTGATATACATTTTCCAGATGAGTGACAAAGTTAAAATCTTTAGAGCAGGTCTCATTTCCAAGTAACTATAAGCCCTTTGATGACCAAACTTGCATGGATGATACTTCTAAGGATGCACACTACTGGACTTGTTTCGGATGCTGAATCTGACCTACATTTTCGAGATGAGTGACCAGGTTAAGGTTTTTAGAACAGGTCCATTACCAAGAAACTAAAAAGTCTTTCTGAACCAAACTTGCATCAACGGATGAACACTCTCAAACTTGCTTCAGATGCTGGATTTGACGTACATTTCCTGCATGAGTGACTAGTTTAAAGTTTTTAGATAAGTCAATTCCCAGGTCACTGCAAGCCCTATCAAACCAAAATTGCATAAATATTGCATCTAGGGATGCACACTACTAGATTATTACTTTAGTGTGGGACTTTGCCTTACTTAAAGACAACATTCGTCGAGGCGAGGTGATCTCTGTAATCTCTGATTACCTATGTTTTATTATTTTTTTAAAAGGTGCTGCAAAAGTGCACTACACTAAGATATACATGTATATATTTGTGATTACTTTGAGTGTCCCTCATTTGTCTTCAATGACAAAACAATTAACTATAACCCAAGTGTAACCAAGAGAAACTGTTAAATTTCTGATATGGGACCAGAAGCGTTATTACTTTAAATAAAAAGTAAAGGAGACAAGTTTTAAGGATACACATATTTCTGCCATTCTACCGTTAGCACAGACGAAAACATTACAATTCTCACCAGGAGCTGTTTTATTCTAAATTTCCTGCGCATTCTTATTTTAATGCTAACTTTGAACACCATGTGAATGATATCAAATATATCATTTTTGTCTTGTTGTCGAGAAAAAAATTGCATAGAACTTTTTTTAAGTTACTTGACACCAATTTCATGGTTATGAGTTGTCTGAACAATATACCAGCAATTTACCGAAAACCATGAACTTAATTATTCACAAGTTTTACCTAACTACGGAAAAGCGAATTCAATCAAAAGAAGCTTAAAATCGTTAATATCGACTTCAAATAGTGAACATTTAAATGTCATAGAAAAAAAGACTCTGTTGGACCATAGTTACACTGCGACCAACACTTTATTCTAATGCAACTGTTTTGTAATCTGCATTCTGATTGGCTAATGCATTGATGTTTATTGAATGAGCACCAACAATATTGAGAGCTTTCGATTTAAAAACGGAAATACCCAACACAAGCATATATTTTCGGTATTTCATATAATAAAAAAGCCAAATTCAACAAAATAATTAGGATGTAAATATCAAACAAAATGCATAAATTGCTTTATAAGGTGAATAACTGTTATCTTCTATGCTATTTACAACCATTAAATACTAATTTGACGGTTGCAGCCATCCGTTTGCGAGCGTTAAATCAGCATTAACAGTCGCAATTAGCAAACAAGAAGACAGTCACTTCCTAATATTACTAGCATATGGTAATATATATCACTCCAATATATATTCCAGCATATTACAAGACTTTAAATTGGTTATAGACGTTTTAGAAAACCGCACAATAAACAGTTTATCAAATAGTAAAAAAGATTGGAACAAGTCATTTTGTGATTTTGGGAGCTTTAAGAAAAGACACCGGGTACAGAGGTTTTACTGATTTAAAAAAAAAAATACACCTGATATAAGCTCATGACCCAAAAAGAAAAAAAAAGTATTCCCGCACAAAAAATCAAAACTGAACAACCAATATTTGTGGTTCAGTCGTCCTCAAAACTAAACATTATAAGCAAAGAATTAATATTTTGATAAATATTTTTTTAATGCTTTCATTAGTTTTCTTGTTATAAGATTTAACGGAAATAGTAAAATTGAACAGATGACAATATTTGTAAACTTAGTTTTTCGTCTTAAGTTTCCCTGAATTATGAGAAAGTTTTTTTTTAAATGAATAAAAAAAATCTATTATAACAGCAAAAAGCAATGATGTTTATTACTCATTTATCATTCTTCAGAATTAGAAGATCGCCAGAACGATTCCACAGAGAAGTCCACAGAGAGATTGGTTTGGGTGACCGCAGATGACGTTTCTCAGACTCCTGTGTAGCATTGTCTCAGATCCTATCATCCAAACCATGGTTAAGCTCGCCAGATCCTATCATCCAAACCCATGACCCATGAGGCGAGAAGATCCAATGGACCCTTCCACAACTTCACAACAAGCAAAAGATAATATTGTCTTTAGATACATCTCAGCTAGCGAGAAAACCTTTAAGTCCCCAACCAAGGCCTAGCTAAGAGGAAATCCTACTGCATTCCCCTTCTTATACCCTAACAAGATAGGTAAACTCTTCGTCTACTCTTATGGCCTAGTTAGCAATAAAATCCTATTGTCTTTACTTATGCCTTAACCGGCTAGGTAATCCTATTACTACTCCCATGACCTAACTAGCAATTAAATCCTATTTTCTCTAATTATGCCTTTACCAGCAAAGTAATTCTATTCCTACTCCTATGACCTGACCTAGCTAGCAATGAAATCCTATTGTCTCTACTTATGCCTTAACCAGCTAGGTAATCAGTTTTCTACTCCCATGGCCTAGTTAGCAATGAAATCCATTTTTTTTCTATTTATGCTTTAACCAGCTAGATAATCCTCTTCCTACTTCCATTGCCTAAATAGCAATGACATTCAATTGTCTAGGTAATCCTTTTACTACTCCCATGATTTAGCTAGCAATGAAATCCTATTGTCTCTAATTATGCCTTTACCAGCAAGGTAATCCTATTGCTGCTCCCATGACCTAGCTAGCAATGAAATCCTATTGTCTCTACTTATGCCTTTACCAGCCATGTAATCCTTTTTTCTACTCCCATGGCCTAGCTAGCAATGAAATCCTTTTGTCTCTACTTATGCCCTAACCAGCTAGGTAATCCTATTGCTACTCCCATTACCTAAATAGCAATGAGATCCTATTGTCTTTACTTATGCATTAACCAGCTAGGTAATCCTATTTCTACTCCCATGACCTAGGTAGGTTACCCCATTGTCTACTCCCATGGCCTAGCTAGCAACGAAATCCTATTGTCTCTACTTATGTCTTAACCAGCTAGGTAATCCTTTTACTACTCCCATGACCTAGCTAGCAATGAAATCCTATTGTCTCTACTTATGCCCTAACCAGCTAGGTAATCCTATTGCTACGCCCTTAACCTAACTAGCAATGGAATTCTATTGTCTCTACTTATGCATTAACCAGCTAGGTAATTCTATTGCTACTCCCATGGCCTAGCTAGCAATGATATCCTATTGTCTCTTCTTATGCCTTAACCAGCTAGGTAATCCCATGTCTACTCCCATAGCCTATCTAACAATGACATCCTATTGCCCCTGCTTATGTTATAACCAGCAAGGTAATCCCATTGTGTACTTCCAGCGAGTGAGGAAATTCTATCGTCCCTACTAGATCTATAGTTAATCTACTTCCATGGCCTAGCTAGAGACTAGAACATACTGTCCGTCCAAACCCCCATATATCTGTGATGCTTATATTTGTTAGTTTTGTTGGTTATCAAAAAAGGAAATTTGAACTTAAATCAAATAAAAATGATGGAAAATTAAGCTGAAATTGTTTATAAATGTGTTATTATTTGTGTGTTTTTTTAAATACGTCACAAGAATTTTTATCTGAACGTTATACTTATAAAAATACCATACATAGTATACAACGACAAATGCAAATTAGTGTTGATGTGTACAAAAAAATAATATTATAATTATTTTTTCTAATCAAAGTGAATATTGATTTACATGACAGCGGAGTGACGTAATATATTCTTCATCATATCTGTATGAATTAGAAACAGGCAGCGTGACATAGTAATAGCATCAAAAAGGGCATCTTGTGGAAAAAAATATAAACCGTCTTAGTATGTAAAAAGATATAAAAAAAAATTATCGTACTGGTAACGATCAAGTGTCTGATTCAAACAAATATATGATAAAAAATTCCTAGATAGTTATATCATCGCTTATATATTCTAAAGGTAGAACCATTTATTATATTTAAGATGTAAGATGTCCTTCTCTGCGCTTATATAACATCACCAAACAGATGCATTGTCATGTTTGTGCATATATAAGGTTTGCCACTCGTCAACATTTGAGAAAAGATTGGTCAGAACCTCTGATTAAAATTATCAATAGCAATTTAATTTTTATAATATATTTGAATTAAAAATGCCAGGTTCGATTTATTCAATATTCATTCAATATGCTGGAACTTTTGGTCCTACATATTTTTACACACAGAAATTTTCACATCATTATATGCTGAGAGTACTTAATGTTCAAAGTAGGTTTCAAATATAATTTTACAAAAAATTTAATGGACTTTTGAGCTTGAATACTGTTCATTATCTCCATATATTTCATATAGTATTTCAACATAACCTGCCACAAATTGTAGATATATTGAAAAAAGTCAACATAAAATCAGCTTTGCCGTTACCTTGAATTTTGTATAATTTGACCCATATCTCCAAAGAAAAAGGGCCTACAAGGCGAGGACAGTTCCCCGCTCGGACACAATATATTTCTCAATTTTCAAAGTTCACGGAAAAGTTATATTTTTCTTCTAAAATTATGTTGTCAGTAATGTTATCTTCAACAAAGTTGATTCATTTATTTTATTGAATGACTCATTAATTGATAATTGTTTTTGAAAGTTGACAGTTAAGGATATTTAGTGGAAAATGAGTATATTTGAGCCATAAAAATGATTTTTAGATATGAATGGTTCAAGTTTCCATTCTACATTATTGTTTAAATGATGGAATAATAAATGTAAACTCTATTTCATGTTTCATAAAAAAGTGAAATCTGAACCCATTCTATATGAAATCAAACATTTGTGAAAAAAAAGTATGTGTCAACAGATTCGTTTATTTAAAGAACACTGACACACACATACATAACAAAAAGAATTCTTAGCGTAGTGGTTAACACGTTCAGTCTTGCGTCTAACAGTGAACTCTGGAGAGAGTTCGAATCATATCTGATGCGCTTTTTTCTTTTCACATACCTTTGAAACATAAGTGAAAAATGAATTATTTAGCAATAAATTATTCAACAAAATAAAGAAAGCAAATGTGCAAAAGATGAATTGACAATGCGATTTGTGAAAAATATAACTTGTCATGAACTTTTAGAATTGAGAAACGTCTTTTCTCAGAGCGGGCGATTGTCCTCTCCTTGTATGCCTCCATTCTTTACATCATTGGCAACTTTTATTTCATTTTTTTTTTAGTTACATGATACACAAGTGATACCTCTTATCGCTCAGACTAAATTTTTGAAAAGCTCGATATAAGAAAATATTATATTAAGTGTTTAGATTTTTAACATCCATAATATGATTTTTATTGGTGCGAAAGGTCACACAATATTTTACACGCATTCTTTGGCATTTTTTAAAAATAATATTTTATTTAAACCATTTTACACAAAATAAGATTATAAACATTGCCATTATAATATCTAATAAAATATTGAAGTACAAAAGGGTCAAGTTTATCGTACTGTTGCTCAGTAATATGTATTGAACCCCCCCCCCCCCCAATTTTTAGTTATACTGTATGAGTAAATATCTAACAAGAGGCCGATGGGCCACAACGCTCACCAGAGTATCTTTGGCCCTGCGGTTTTCACCAAACTTTACCCCCTTGTAATACCTTTTGTGGCCCAACCCTTACCCCAGGGTCATGATTTTAACAATTTAGAAATTACACTACCCAAGGATACATAAGTTTCAGCATTTCTAGCCCATTGGTTCTTGAGAAGAAGATTTTTAAAGATTTTTCCTAATGTATTTCAATGTAAAACTTGGATTCCCTATTGTGGCCCCGCCCTATCCCCGGAGTCAAGATTTTAACAATTTAGAATCTACACTACCTATGGATGCTTTCACATAAGTTTCACCTTTTCTGGCCAAGTGGTTCTTGGGGAGAAGATTTTAAAAGATTTTTTCTAAATATTTCAATGTAAAACTTGGATTCCCTATTGTGGCCCCACCCTACCCCCGGGGGTTATGATTTTAACAATTTAGAATTTACACTACCCCAAGATGCTCCTTCATAAGTTTCAGCTTTTCTGGCCAAGTTGTTCTTGAGAAGATTTTTTAATGGCCCCACACTATTTCTGTCTTTTCTTGATTATCTCCCCTTGTATGGGGTTTGGCCCTTCATTTTATCAATTTAAACTCCCCTTCACCCAAGGATGCTTTGTACTAATTTTGGTTAAAATTGGCTCAGTGGTTCTTGAGAAGTAGTTGAAAATGTGAAAAGTTTACAGACGGACGGACGACGGACAGTGGGTGATCAGAAAACGTCACTTGAGCTTTCAGCTCAGGTGAGCTAAAAATGATTTCAAACATTAGTGTCAGGAGTGACATACCTTAACAAACAATACAGATGCAAAAGTATTGAAGATGACATACGTAAGAAAAATATAAACAATTTTAAAACTTTTTTTTTCTCTTAAGACTAAAAAGATATCAAAAAGGTAATTGGCAACGTTGATTGAACATATTTTTCTATTAAGATACCTCAAAGAAAAATTGAACAGTGTAAAATTAAAATTTTCCTGGTGGTAGAAGATATTTTGAATAAATATGTAAGACAAGTAAACATTACGATAATATTTCCTGGTTTGGAAGGAGATATTTAAGCAATAATTAGTTTAAGGAAGTAGAAACATAATCGATCGGAGGAATAAAGTAATGTAAACAGAGCTAACACAAAGCAGCCTTCATCACCTGTTGTAACACCTTTATTGTAACACCTTTAATTGATTTGGATCTACTAAACAGGCTACAGGTAAGAAAAAAATATCTACATTTGGTATTTATTTCTTTCTAATTCTGAGAGCTGACTCCTTCCATAATTGCGCATGTATTAATTTAGGTTTTAAAAAAGAAAGATTTAAACAAGCGAGGTTTACCTGAATTACAGCTATTTTTATCTTTGAGCAGGTAAGGTGACCGACGAATGTATTTCCCTTATTGACATTAGTCATAAAACGTACAGCACGTAAAGGGTTAATCAAGGACGGGGCAATCAACGCTGGCTGATTGTTACACATCTTATTACCTGTCAAAAGGCAGGTGAGAAGGAAATTCACTTCAGGTGAGAATTACTCTTTACATATAACTTGTGTTCGTTTAAATGTTTCTAATTAATCGCCCAATACTCGTGTAAACTAAAATCAATAAACTTTTTTCGTCGATGAATCATTGAAAACTATGTTACGTCAAGAGCATACATATGAACGGCACCTTCAATGATAATTCAAGGAATGCTGCAACTCGCCATATGTTGTATTACCATAGGTCTATAAAGGGTCGTCTGTAGATATTAATAATGGGCTTGTTCAGTAACACAGTGGAGAATTTCATTCTGATCAAAATTAACAGTATTATGTATTGGCAATTATCATTAAATCGTATTTTTTTTTCTATCTTTACAGATAAAAAATTAGGAAGACCCAGTATCTGTCTATGCGCGTGGATTGGCATAATAAAAACGTACTAATATGGTGACAGAATTCCCTTGGAATGAAGTCACTACTTCGTTTTTTGACGATTGTCTCGTTTCAGCAAATGTGTAAGCTCCATTCCTCAGGTTCGTATTATTAAACATCGTATACGAAAGAAAAGTTTCATTGAATTTGTCAACTGATTGTTTATCTTTTTTATCTAGTATCAACAGAATCGCCCTGTGATATATTACAATGTGAACATTCAAGTCCATGCATGATTATTAATGAAGTATCCAAGAATGGAAGCTACATAGCAAAGGCCAAATGTGAGTGTATAGGAAGTTACGCGGGACAACGATGCGAAAGCAAGTTGTCAATTTTGGAGTCCAAAATAACGTCGTCGTCCATTTCGTTTACAGTAATAATAAATTCTTTGAAGCCAATTCAAGATTCTGTGCAATACGTCACTGATGACATCACAATTCATTATTGGCAAAATTACAGCCAGAGTACGTGCAGTATTCACCCTGGAAAATTAGAATCCGTTCAGAAAATTCCGCACTTACTTCCAGGAACGTTCTACACTCTCTGTGTCTTAAGTGGTCATGTAAATTTCTGTAGTTTAAAAGAACAGCTCAATTCATCCTTAAGTTGTAAAAATTTTCTAACTCCTGTCAGTGATCTTGAGAATAGCGGATATGAGCAAGAATGGATAATTCCTGTGATTATAACATGCAGTATCATGATTTTTTTCTCCAGTTTATGTCTGTGTTCTGTGATAAATTGTAGAAAGAGAGATAAGGTAGAAAATAAACACCATAAGGAACAAAAACATAACGAGGAACTGGATTTCTTTTTACCCAAAGTCGGTATTTGTGAAAATGTGCCAAATGTTTCTGAGAGAACCATAGAAGTACCAATTTTTCCTACTTCAGTGCCTATTGTTCGTCCTCCCAAAAGTCCAGGACGACCTCCGTATAAAATAAGTCAGCAGAGTTTGGGATATTCTTCATTTACGATGAAAAATAGTAAATCGTTTCCCCTTAATACAGTATTAGAGTATAGTGGTGATGAATGCCAAGAGGACGAGATTAATGTACTGATATCACATAATAAAGAACAAGTATAATTATCTCATGATTTTTCATGTCAAATGTAAACGTGCCATAAAGACTGACTAGCAGTCTAATTATTAATTTTAGAAAGTATCATTAAGCTTGGTTCTTTACATGTACAAGCCTATGATAGGAGTTACTGATTTTTTTTTCTATTTCATATGAATTTGAGCAATATTTTTAGAGTATATTTCCTGTTTTAAATGTTCATAAAGAAAAGAGAAGGAAGGCCTGGCTATAAATTATTGAAATATTGAAAATAAATATGTAATTCTCTCGGTAGGTCATAAATATCCACAATAGCCCCACCCCTCCCCCTGCAAGATAACTTTTTTCTATGAAGTTGAATTTTCAAAATTGTATTGGAGTTACATGTATGTAAACTCAAATTTACGAGATTTATATAATGTAAATTATGCATTTCAATTTTACGTTCAGTTTTTCCTATATCTCAATTTAAAATTTTAACAACTCATAAAAAACAAGCATATAGGTAATGAGATTTTAATGTATCCTTGGGATAATAATCTGCATTTAGACATTCTCATATTACAATACTGCGCAATACAGCTAATGTATAAACAAGTTACAGATAATTAAATTTGCAAGCAAGTTACGGTATGATTCTACTGTGACCGTGTAGATTTGGACGGCACTTAGGAATTCGTCTGGAACTGCATCCGTTGTCTGCAGAACGAACGGGGTGAGGGAATGTTGGCGTAGAGGGTACAAGGTATAGGTAGAGGCGCTGTGTGGCCGTGAGGTAAAAACAAAGTATAGGTGTGCCGTATTCCCGAAGGTCCACCAATATGCAATTCCAGAGATAAAACAAATGATGAAGGATTCCGTATTTATTAGATGAGTCTCAACGATGGCAACAGTTTACATGAATCAACAAACAGACATATTATAAATGATCGAGTCGGATTTGGCCGAAGTGGCCCCGGACTCAGAGTCCTAACGAGTCGGACGTGGCCGAGACTGGCCTTCGTATATTCCAGACTAATGATTGAAATTATACATGACTATTTATAAGAATGTACATAATGAGTAAATAAATGAGAGGTGTTGACATTTAGTAAAATGAGTGAAAGTTTCACAGGTATGGATTAATTAAATAAACTCAATGACGCTTTGATGTTTGGAAATAAAAAACAGATAATTACACAGTGTTGTTTTTAGAGATTAACAGTTCTTGAGACATAGCACTCTGTCTCTTTGTAACAACAGATCAAGAGTCCGAAAAGTGTCACTGGTCAATTAAACAATTAGATTCGCGAACATATCGTGAGAAATAAAATATGACACAACTTAAAAATTGAAAAGTAAAATCCAAAATAAAGTTCTTTCTTGAACAGTGAATTTTTCACTGTGATACTACTTTTAAAACTTTACATGAAATCATTCCTTCGAAAAAGCATTGGAAAATAAGAATAATAAATATTTACAATCTACTTTTATTCGCATATTTTAAACTGCATTGTGCGTTTAAATAAATTATAACAACACAAATTGTAAAAAAAAAAAAAAAAAAAAAAAAAATCGGCATAGAATGATAAAACAGCGAAGAAGTTTATAATTTTGTGTGAAACTATTATTGAGCAAGAAAATAAATCGTAAAACACCGAAAAATGGGTCGTATATTGGTTACGTGCAGATGAAAAAAAAAGACAGAGTTTCAAAAAACTTAGGGCGTTAGCTCGTTTAATTGTTCCAAAAGTAACACTGTTCTATTTCACTGAATGGAGAGATAAAATCTTATTCAAAAAAGTTAAAGGTTCTATACCCAACCCAAATCTATATCCAACCCGAATAAATGAAAGAATTTTAAAAAAGGCCTTCGCAGATACATGTGTAATTGTTTGTAATTTAGGCCCTGCTGATGCCTCGATTTCTTAAACAGGAAACGTCGATGTCCATTTAGCGATGTGTGGATATTCTTAATATTATTTTTTTTATCTCTGTCATTGAAGACAATTGATCAACAACAATGAATGGAATGGCAACAAGAGAAATAATGGGATCAGATTCTAAAGTAATATTTTACTAACTTTTGTTCAAAGTTGTCAACCATTACAAGTAACCCTGTCCTTCTACAGAAATTAATAAACTTTGATACCAGCTTAGCTTAAAAAATAGAACATATAAAAATCCTGGTTGTGATCATAACATGTCAACACTAAATTCTCATGGAGGATCACTATGCAAGCATTTAATTTGAAACAAATGATAAATTTATTAAGGAAGTTTACATCGGAAAGGTAATTTTTCAAAATACTAAGTAACAAATTAAAAAAAAATTAAGTCCTTAATTGAAATGTTTCAAATTTCAAAAAATTTAATTAAGGAGGGATTCTTCTCATATTTATTATATTTACAAATTATTAGAATTTTCAAAGATTCAAGAAGACAATACTAATAATAATGGTATCTGTTAGATTAAATTTTACCGTTTTATTTTGGGAGCAAAGTCAGGTCAAGGGCGTTATCTTTTCTTAGATATAAAAGAACAAAAAATTATTGTCGCTAATCATGTGATGCCTACATCTATTTCAGAAGATTAAAATGTTTTACTATCTGCATACAAAGATGATACTACAGAGGGTCTATCAGATGATACTACCAAAATGTGAAAAATAATTAAACTAAATAGATATTGGCTAACCGAATTTCCTCTATTTTCCTAAAATCATTAGGGAATATCAGTTATTTTTATATGCTTCAAAGATTTAAAATTTTCCTATTTTTACATATGGTTAACAGTCATGTAAAGATAAAAAATGATACAAAAACAAAAAGTATTGACCTTTTAATAAGAGAGAGAGAAAAAAAATAACTGAAATTTTGCTCAAATCTGTTCTTGAATTTGAAGCCTTCAAAGGCTAACAAGATTGCCATTCGTTTGGAAAATCATATTTCATATATTTCTAAAACTTTAGTGCCTATAATTAATCTTAGTTAATTGAAATTTTTTCCCAGCCTATTATTGTTTTAAAATGCAAATAAAATTCATTGTTCTGTAGTAATTTTGAGAATAAGATAAGGAGATATTTTTATACGCAGCCATTCCGCAAAAATATTGTTCCTTGTAGATTTTAAAGTAAGTTTACCATTATTACGTAAAGTTGTACAATTATGAAAAGGAAATAAAAGATTATCTTTAAATCCTTAACATCTAAATATAAAAGACATTTAAGCAAATATGCTTTGAAAGTTTCCTACAGTTAGAAACAAGACAAGAATCCCTACTGAAGAGAAACCCCATTATCGTCCAGTTTTCTGATTGTACACTGAGCCACACCTAGCACTTCATGTTCAATAAAGTATGTAAAGGCCTCATAATTCATGTAAAGCTATATATTTTTCTTTGGAAAACTTACGTTTGCTCCATTTTTCTGAATTTAAACACTAATGCGGTAAACATGGAAACAATAACAGTGTTCCGATGCTTATACCAACATCAATATATATAGGAGTTAGCATCTGCTGTCGATCGGTCATATACGCCGTGAGCCCTCTGTATTGATCAGGTAGATGGAATAATCCGTAGTGAAATTTAGTATAAAAATAAAGGCCTCAATTGGTATGAAATATGTCAGACGACCCAGGGATAGGTTATATTTGCTAACATGGTCATTGTAACTTCCACAAAATTTACAATATGCTGACTTTTAACGACGTTGTTGAAATGCCTCTAACATCAACTTATTTGTTAGTAGCTTGCCTCGATCAGCTTAAAAAATAATCAGCTTAAAAAAATAATCTTACTCATAGCATGTTTCTGAATATCGAATAAATTGAGAGATATTAAAAACATATGCAGGCGATGATGGAATATCAATACATAAGGACGACTCATAAAGTAGATCTATCTGTACTTGCCAGTGCTAATACACTCCCATTTGTCTCTATCACTAGACTAAACAACGCAAAAGTACTTAAGCACGTAAAATAGTATACACATAGTAAAAACCCAGCACAATTCCTCCCACATTTGTCTCTCTTAGTCTTGAATATTATGAAATGTACAAGATATTCTTGTCTCATGTTTCTTTATGTGTTATTCACAAGTCTACTTGATCGTTAGAAATTCTAAGAGTTCATGTACTTTGTGTATTATACTTTAAAAAATTGTATAAATATTTTATTCAATTTACCAATTCAATTACATTTTTTACGATGATAAATCATTATGGTAGAATAACAAAGTGGAAAAATGTCTCTCAAAGTATAGTACGAATTACCATACAAGATCAATAGATTCCTGCTCAGCACGAGAACTCTTGACAAAGTGGTCAGATGTTTCAGAAATATGGTAAAAACATATTTGCTCATTATATCTTTGTGCTCTATTTGCCTCCTAAATGCCTAGAAGCAGAGAAGAAGATTTTTAAAGAATTAATATGTTTTCACTTTATTATCGCCTTACCAACAAGTACAAAATCTATCTTAAAGTCGAATGCTGACATACGTTTTTCATACTAATTGTTGGACCATTATATAAATACTGAATTGTCTACGGATTTTTCCGTTTGTCCGTCATGACAATGAGCATACGGCCCCTTCGTATCTAGATTATGTTTCTTTAGTCCATTAAATATTACAAAATAGGAGCAACAAAAACAGACCTCCAAAACATCAGAGGTGGGATCAGGTGCCAGTTGCCAATATATATAATGTACGAAAGTTGTCCGGTAAAATCGTGGACAAGTTGCCTAGAGTGATAAATAATCAATACTGGTTTCTAAAAATTTCCTTACTCTTTTGTACATTTTTCATCAATATTCGTAGCAGATTTCGGCTTGATATATGCTCAAATAAACAAAATATGGGATTATGTGTGTATTTTCTTACGGAGCACGGATGATAACGTGAAATGTCTAAAGCAACTTCACGTTTCATCTTTGCTTTAAAAAGCTGGATAAACCCGGCCATTTAATTGCGGGAATTTCACTGATGCACACACTTGAATTCCATCTTATTCCCCAATAAACACTCAAGGGCCAATCTCGCAAGC